TAGAAAGTCGAAAAATGTGAATTCTAAACGTAACATCTTTTTTTAATGATAATGCTCGAAAGTCCATTATCATTTCATATCTCTCTGATAGGCACATGACCCCTTATTATACGAGAGAGCTGCTAAGGCAACGACACAATGCGTATTGGAGATAAGATTATGCAACGTAATACTAATGTCCGACAATTACACGATATACATAATAATACTTACAATGTTTTTCAAATGTGATCTTTGCTTTATCATTATGACTCTAATATTCGTGTAAGCAAATCTTTTCGTAATAGTGATAACGCATAAAACAATTAATTCGTCCCCTAATGACAGCAACAAACAATGAAGAAAAAAATTAATATACATAAGTACCTTAGTACACCATCATTTCATTGGTTTCTGTACATTAATGCTGAGGTCACACAGAGGCGGCCGCGGAACCCTGCCCCCGGCCGGCCGCCATGCGTGTCAGGGTTCATAGAAACTCGTACATTACAAAAATTCCCGCGACCGGAACGCTTCCGCGGCCTCCTCTGTATGTCCAGAGCATTAATATTGGGTGGTTTCAAACAATTTTGTCTGAGCCAACAAGTAGTGCCACGAATATTTATTATTTATTTTGTATACATTTTATTTTATTTTTATTTTGACATTTTAATAATTTATTAAGTGTTTTCTTAATGTACCTATTGTTTTTCTAATGGGTCTAGAATGTTCAATGGTGTTCAAAGCCCCTAAATATAAAAAAATTAAAAAAGTTCAAAAGCAATCCTACACAATTTTGGGGCATTCCATTTTCAAAAAAATTCGAAATTCAAATTCAAAATAATTTATATCACATACGAGTATTGTACATCTACATTATATTTCAAAATCAGTTATTACGCCAGAAACCACTCCATTGCAGCCTACATCAGTACAAAGAATTGACTAATTATGTTATAAAAATTGATCTATTTTTTTGAACCACAAGGTAAACCTTTTAGTGGTCTATCTAAATAAATAAATCACCGAGATAGAGATAACATCTTTAACTACATATTGATACTCGAATTAAAAGACTCACCAAAATTTTATATAAATGTTGTACAAGTTCTAGCATATCGCCATTTTAGAGTCCAAGGCACCATTTTGAAAAAATTCGAAATTCATTTAACATTGATTTACAAAGCTAGAAACAACTTCATTGCAGTACAAATGGCTGTCTAATGATGTAATAAAAATTGATGTGGTATACCACAAGGTAAAGTGGTCTTTATAGATAAACAAATAACCGAAGTAAAGATAATACTTAACTACATATTAAAAGCCCGATTTATATGATCCACTGAAGTTGTTAATATTTTTTTAAGTATGTTATAAATATCGATGATAGTTCTGCTGATGATTATATAGATAAGTTTGTAATTTCATCAGGACCATCTTTAATTGGTGACAATTTGTTTTTAAATTAATTTTACTTCATTGAATATATTTTTTTGTGAAAATACTGCATTAGTTTGTGGTCATTATGATACAAAGATCCAACAAACACAAAGGCAAGTGGCTTCGATTCGGCTGGACTCGAATCAGCTATTTTTTCGCCAAAGCGGGGCTATCAGTGCTATACAATATTTAAAATTATAATGATTTATCAATGCGTGCGCATAACTTGACTCCTCGCTCAGTTTGAGTTGGCGATCGTCTTCGGATTGACGTATATTTGTTTTCTTTTTGTCTTTATTTTGTTAATTTAGTTTGTTTCTCTAAATTGCGTGAGAAGTGCGTAAGAATATTATTTTACGTGTAAATTATTCATTAGTTAAAAATTGGTAAATATGAATTAGCCTTTGTTTATTTTCATCTGCACATACATTTTGTCTCACTGTCTTGACTTTTTAACCGACGTAAAAATAGGAGGAGGTTCTTAATTGGATTGTATTTATTTTTGTGATTTCAATTATTCTTTTTTTTGTTGGAAATTGGGTATCTCAGTGGTGGTCCCATTAAATTCAAAAATATTCCACCACTAAAGGTGGCATAAGAGATGTATCTAGTTTATTGGATTGCATCGATTCGGATCGATTGAGATCGGTTTTATTGTTATAAAAAAGTTATAACTATATTATACCCATACCATTTCAACTCTGCTGACTAAACAAAATATGGACGTGGACAAGCTTCAGCTGTATTCAAGTAGAGTTGTAGAATTGTTGGTAGCAGTAGATCTCCTTGTGAAAGGCTCTTCCAGGGAAGTACTGCCACTTTACCTATTTCTGCCGCCAAGCAGTAATGTTAGCATTACTGTGTTCCGGTTTTGAAGGGTAAGGGCTGGTGAAATTACAGGCACATGGGACTTGTCAACTTATGTATGTCTCAGGGTGTCGGGTCGCAGTGGCAGTGCCCCTCAGATCTTTGCGATTTAAAGGCCTGAGTGGCACTGTAATTGTCCCGTTATTTGATATTATAAAAAAAGAAATCGATTTTGAAAATAAAAAAAATATTTCTCTCAATATATTAATAAATAAATATAAAGTAGAATTTAGTATTGTGTGGTGGGAAATAAAACGTGTGTAGCTAAAAATGGCGGAACACTCTGTAGTGACTCTGTAGTCGCTGCAGCCTGCCATATTCAAAAATATAGAACACACATTTAATTTTTTGCTTTAATGTAACAATCCCTGCCTTTTTTTGTCTGCTTTTACTTATAAATCTGTCGATAGTATAGTGCATAATTAGAGTACATTGAACATTTTATTTCTTTTTGTGGCGATTCGCTGTATTATGCCATGTTACATCGATTTGACGCGGTTTGTAATGACTTGCAGCACTGTAAGTTTATGGTAGAGAGGAACAGAAGTTTATAGGTAACTAAAACTAACAATGACCAATTAATTAAAAACAAATTCTTGCCAAAACCGACGTAATGTCTTATAAAAAATCAGAAAGAAAGAATGAGACGGTCACAAACATTAAATATTATTTTTTATATTAAAATAAATGCACATTTGACCACCACTTCACCTGACGGAAAGTGACGATGAGGTCGACGATGGGGCAAGCACACGTAAATAATACCTATTTACTCCCGCTGTGAAAAGGCTCAAGTTCAGTAAATAAGTTTGCAGGCAAGAAATTCCACTGCAAAGCCGTTCGCCATTTAAACGTGGAAGCGTAAAGCTTCGTGCAAAATATTCGCCATTTTTCTTCCATTTTTATTAATCATTTTTGTTCACTAATAGCACTGAAGCTTGTGTTTAATTGATTAAATAGACTATTGTTATTTTTTTTGCATTTTTTCTTCTATTGTTATTACACGTGCGTTTATTTCATATTATCCTTGGTTTATTTAATTATTAACAGGCAGTTGATTGAAGTAGATATTGCATATTGTTATTTATATTGTTTTTTTTTATACGAGTTATTTCTGTTTCAACTTGATTTTTTCTTAATTAGTTCCAGTCTCTATGTCGGTACTATGAGTAGTGCCATAGCTAAGTTGCGCTTGTTGTCATATTACATGACACATGTGGCGTAATGCCGTCGGGACGCTATGATATCAACTATTATTCATACTGTACTTAAAAATGGTTTGGGGTCACAATTTTTTGCAGTTAAGTGTGTGTTTTATCGGAGGTACGATATTGCAAAATATGAATTGTTCTAAGTTTTATCAAATTACTGATTGAAAAGAGTTCTATACATTTATTACCGTCTAAAATACGAAACAATTCCTTAACATGTATTTTTTTTGCTCTGTTAACCCCTTTGTTTACATTTATAACATCCAATTACGATTGATACTAAGTTTCTCGTGGTGGCGTTCTGATTTATATGTAGTATATAACGCAGCGTCAAAAGTATAACGCAACGCCACGCGCCGACGCAACGCATCCTGTGGCTCCGTTTTTAACCGACTTTAGAAAAGGAGGAGGTTCTCAATTCGACTGTTTGTTTTTTTTGTGTGTATGTTACGCGATAACTCCGGTATTTGTGAACCGATTTTCATGATTCTTTTTTTGTTGGAAAGAGGGTACCTCCATAGTGGTCCCATTTCATTTTGAAGAAAATCATCCACCTCTGAGGGTGGCCGTTCACGCGTGAATATTTATTTTTATAAATAGCGCTTAAATTTGATTATAAGGAGCAATTATTTTAATGGTTGATTTTGCTATTCTTCAATTCAAGGCGTTTTTCTCTCTCAATATACTTTGAGTAGTGAGAACCGATTTTTATTATCTCCCGTGTTAAGTCCCGTATAGTGGCGAATTAGGGGATGAATCCTGGTTTGCGCACTTTCCGGTAACCGATTTCAATAAAACATGGTAATTATATGTAATTCCACGTACTTTTGAGGTCGGTTTTTTTAGTACTTTGTACTGAGATTATTTGACTGGCAACGCGACGACAACGATTGCCTTTTTCGACTATTGTATTTTTCGAATTATTTCTCGTTTCTAAAAATGCTACTTTTACAATTAGATATACATCACTATCATTGAGTTGATTAGTTATTTTTTGTCTTAAAGTTATAATATTTACTTTTTTTCTATGGTGGACTTAGATAAATATTTATTTATTGAGTTTATAAAAAAGAATCTTTAGAACACTGGTATATACTTTAAATATTTTTAGTTCGTTAAATCGATGATATTGGCTCTGTTTTCACCACCATAAAGTTGTATTTGCTTTGAAAAATGTTATGTGTTGTTAGGTTTTTTTTTTATTCTAAATCGGTAGTTTTCATCAAAATTCATTTTATAAATTATAATATTTTTTGTAAATAGGCATTTTACATCCATCTCACCTGTGTGTGAGTGTCGATGTGGTCGACGATATTTAGATGCGGATGCTCCGAACATCTAAATAATGCCTATTCACTCTCGCCTTGAAAAAGCCCAAGTTATACCGTTTAAGGAACAAGTGTACAGGCAGGGAATTTTTTCAAATAAACCAAAATTTATAGGTCACGGTCACGTATTTTTATCAAAATTATATCACCAACACTTCGTTTTTCATCTTTACAGAACTAAACGGTCACAATGTGTCCCATTTGGCCGCTGCATCTGATAATCCTGTACATTCTGGCATTATGCCCCCTCTGGGTTCTCTGCCAGGAGCTGCCGAAACTCACGGCTAACTTCAAACCTCAGGAGCTGGAAATGGTGATGGAATACGCTGAGTACGTCAGTGTTTCTGTTAAAGGTAAGAAAACCGAGATCTTTAAAGTGTTAAGTTCTAGATTTTTTAATTAACTGATGATCATGGGGGAGGGGATCCTGGTATTTTTGTTATTATTAGTTTTGTACTTCTGAGTCAATGATCAATGAAACGATTATTTATCTAGATATCTTACTGTGGGCGCTTGATGAGGAAGTTCCTGGGGTCGATTCCTAGTATTACCAATTTGGGAAATTAACTTTTATGAATTGATTCAAGTTTGGGTGTCTGGGTTCTCATAGTACAGGGATTTCTCTACTTTAAGACCAGTTCACACTAATTGATTGGCCTCGAATTAGGGTTGTCTGGCCTCTTTTTTTTTCGTGTGTCTGGTGGAAAGCGACACGTGTCCCTAACAGTTGCAGTGCCACTCAGAGCTTTAAATCACAAAGATCTGAGCGGCACTGACATAAGCTGGCAAATCCCATGCACCTGTAATGTACATGTACCTACAAGTAATTGCAATTACTTGTACACTTACCCTTCGAAACCGGAACGCAGCAATGTTTACATTACTGGTTGGCGGTAGAAATAGGTGAGGTGGCAGTACTACCCTGGACGAACTCTTTCACAAGGAGCTCTATTTGTACTAAAAGTATTACTTGCCCATACACTTAGCTTCACACACGCAACGCGGCGTCATACACGAAAATTGTAGATCCAGAGCCAACCATAAACTTATAAAATATATGCTTGGTATGCCAGGACAATGATATTTAGGAAACACCAAAGGAACTTGACCCTGGGCTACGAGCAATTCTGCACTACTGACAGGTCATTCTAAAGCCAAGAACATGGCATCACTACCGCTTTGAGTTTAATTTTATCTGCCGTATTTTTATTAGCTTTCTGTTTTTGCACTAATGTTTTCTTTCTCCAGGGGACGATCTTCGAGTCGGGGATCAGTTTCTACTCGAAGTGGACAGAAGTCACATAGCAGTACCAGAATGGAATTCTAGCTATAGTTTAACGGACCAAGAAGCAGCTTCGGGGCAGTTCGACGGAAAGCTAAGGGTGAAGGGCAATTTTTTAGGTAAGTTTTTTTTTATTCATAACAAATAATCCATTATTACACCTTCCTATTTACGAAGAGATTCAAGAGAGATTAGAGAATATTACTAAACGGCTCTTGAGTCGAAGCTTCAATTATTGAGTGCCTAGGGATAGGCATGTCCTTCAGAATTCTAGATATTTTTCAATTGTAAATCTGCTTTTGTTTTAATCTGCGTCGCGGCACAAACTACTTAACGGTGAGCAGTTTCGCTACTTGTGTCGTTACTTTCTCATTCTGACTCACTCACTGCTGCTTTTTATTTCACTTAAAATTTGGTTTTAAGAAAATTATCCATTGTACTATTTAACATTCAATTAACACACATTACAATGTGTAGTCCCATCTATCCCGAAAGCATGGCAGATGTAACTTTATAATTGTTATACGTGAATAAAATCGTTGAGCGTGTTCTTTTGATTTTATCTTATATCTTTGTTTTTTATGATATCAAGTGACGAAATTAATAAGTAATGTACATGGTGGTACGCGAAACGCTTACCCATAACAGTTGCAGTGCCACTCAGAGCTTTAAATCGCAAGGTCTATGGTGCACTGCCATTGCATCCGCAGGGCAATCCCGGTATACAAATAAATCAAAATCTTTACTATGTTAGAATATCATAATGTTTTTATTCATAGATTTTCATGTAAAAATATTCCACAAAATTTTAAATCGCATAGATCTGAGAGACACTGCCACTGCCCCTGTCACCCCGAGACATACTCGTAAGGTATCAAGTCTCATGTGCCTGTAATTTTATAGGCTATGATACTTATGACAGGTTATGTAATTTGATAGGCTATGATACTTATGACAGGTTATATTAACTCGAGTCTTTAAGTGAAATAAAGTAAATTTAATATTGTATTCAGTTAATTACCTTATGTATACCATATGTATTCATACTCGGTAAATAAGCACAACAATAGTCATGAATATGGCCTCAAGCAATGTGAAAGTTGAAAATACCTTTTATCCTTGATGCAGGTTTTTATAATGTAAATAATTATATGGATGCGAGATGAACTAATTTAAAATAGCGTCTAGTAATCTGTACTTGACTAATTTTAACACGTAGTATAAGTGATTGTTATATTTAATTTGATTTTTGACATTACTATTATTTTTATACAGGTGTAGAAATGTAGATTACGTAAGTTTGACATTCACGTGATTATTTTGATTTTATTTTTGACATTATGAATTTTTACTCTACATGTTTACTCCTACTATATCTATTTTTTACTTTTCTTTCATAACATCAAGTGACGGAACAAACAAGTCGTGCGCCCGATGATAAGCTACACGCCTTTCCATAACAGTTACAGTGCCACTCAGAGCTTTAAATCGCATAGATCGCATAGATCTGAGAGACACTGCCACTGCCCCTGTCACCCCGAGACATAAGTTATCAAGTCTCATGTGCCTGTAATTTCACCAGCACCCTTACCCTTCAAAACTGAAACACGGTAATAATAATAATAATAATAACAATAACGCACACACTCAATATAGCCCTACCCTTAAACCCTGTGTCGCGGGTGCCATTCTCCCGGCTCGGGAATAGAAACTGGGACCTCTGCGTGGCAGACCCACATGGTAACCGTTCGGCCACAGAGGCAATTCAGTAATGCTCACATTATTGTTTTGTGGCAGAAATAGGCAAGATGGCAGGACTTTCCTGGACGAACTCTTTCACAATGAGTCTACTGCTACTTGACTAGTAGAGCGGTGGATCTAATTTCTGTTTTCAATCTTGATAACATATTGAAATTTTAATTATTACCTTGCATTTTATTTTATTTTTTTATTGTTAATGTAATGGAATTTATCGCTAAAGCGTGAAACACACAGAGAGCGGGTGCGGGTCAGCGCGAGTCGGGTCGGGACCGCGACACGTCTAATTTCATGTATTTTATGGACGACATCACACCGCGCGCGGGCACTTGCGCCCGTCCCGCATCCGCCCTCGGTGTGTTGTCGTCCTTATATATAAATACACGGAATTAGACCCGACCCGCGCTGACCCGCTCCCGCTCTCTGTGTGTTTGACGCTTAAATAATTGAATTATTATTATAGATTACCGTAACAACCTATGCATCTATTTCCAGGTAGCACAAATGTGAGAGTAGTGAAACAGCGAGGAACGCAAACGTTCCAGGTCAATGGTAGCTTGCCTGTCACAGTTCTGAGGCCGGAGAGAGTCATTGACCGAATCTTCGTGACCTCTGTCGCTTTGTTTGTAAGTACATTCATTTACAACCACTGAGGATCATACTAACAAGGCCTAGGTCAAAACTATTCAGAATAAAGAAGCCTTTATTCCTCCTTTAAGCCTCAGTTGTTGCTATTTGAAAAGATAATAAAAAACTATTTCATTGATAAATTTAAATGAGTTGAGTATCGTGAGAAAAATCTTGTTGAAATTATCCCGCGTGCAGCGCGACATAACTGTTACGTAAATTGTAACTCCTCCCGCACCGCGCAACTACCTCAGGTACCGACTCAATTAAGTAGTGGGCCTGTAAAATGTCAACACTGACAAAAACATTGTTCGTTTGCAGGTATCCCTGATCTTTATAAACTTCGGGTGCGCCATGCACTGGCCAACCGTGAAAGATGTGCTCAAGCGACCAATCGGACCCTTAATTGGCATGTGCGGACAGTTTCTTTTCATGCCACTGGTGAGTACCGCTATGGGTTGGACGCCAGTCGAAGACGAACTATGATGAAAAGCTTTCACTTGACGATTTTTCGATCGGCTGACCAGAATTCTTTACGGGGCGTTAAATCAAAATAGTAGTAAACTGCATGTGTACAACAAAAGAAAATAGAAAGAAAAATCTTTTCATCGTACTTGCTCGTAAATGGTAGGCTTGCATAGTGGCTAACTTGACTATAATGACCTAAATAAGACCCACGGGCCTATTTTCTTTCAATTACAGACATACCCGGGAAGAAGTTTGTTTTTTAATTTGTAGCATGACATACGTAGGTCGTGTTAAAGTTCAAGCAAGGAGGTTACTTAAGTTCAAAATAAACATTCGCTTAAAATGTTATCTAAACAGAAATCTGATTACATTTAAGCCACATACTTAAATACTTATTATTAAGAATTTTTCATAATTGATTTTAATTATTTTCTATATAAAGATTTACCAAATTTTTTTTTTACAACATTTTAGTTCGAGTTGTATTGTGTATTGAAGAATTAAAACAAACATAAATAAAAGTCCCGCCATAAAACAATTGTCAACGATTGCATCAACGCGATTAGCTGCAAGCCTTTTAAAATCTAATTATTCTTGGTTCATAATTAGAATTCTAAAATACAAGCGAACTACAATAAGTAGCGCAGTCGCCAGCTTTCACAAAACGGAAGATGCGGATGAATTTCCTAAAATACGTCGTATGTCGTGATGTGAATGACAGAGACAGTGAAACGGAGATACAACCTATTTGATTTTGTAACGTCGTACCTTCGTGAAAAGTCACGGTGATACTATTTGACAGCTGATCACTTATTTTTCGTGACGTGACCACCCACCTCTATATCCGACTATCGTATGGAAAAATCGGACGTGTATTGCCAGGTTTAATCACAAAGATCTAAGGAGTACTGCGCCCGTCACTCTGATACATAAGTTAACAAACTTCATGTGTCTGTAATTTCACCGGTACCCTTACCCTTGAAACGCTCGCAAGCTCTACTGGTATAAAAAATATTGTACGCTTTTCTAACCATGTGTTTATATGTTGTTGTCCAGATTTCCTTTGGGCTCGGTTATTTAATATTCCCGGACGACGGTGAGATGCGCCTGGGCATGTTCTTCACTGGCGTGAGTCCGGGTGGCGGCGCCTCCAACATTTGGACTTTCATTCTGGGAGGCAACTTGAATTTATCATTGGCTATGACAAGTATTTCGACGATTGCATCTTTCGGTGAGACCCTTATTTATTAATAAATTTTGTGACCTGAAGCGCCCGTAGAAATAAGTTCGTACAACCTAAGGCTATGAATACTATGGGCGGAGGCTAAATAATTACGTAGTACCTTGTATATATATTTAGTAGTAGTAGTAGTCGCTCTGAGACATAGACACCTTTACCCTTCCGGAACGCAGTAATGCTCACATTACTGCTTGGCGGAATAGGTGAGGTGGCAGTACTTCCCTGGACGCACTCTTTCACAAGGAGCTCTACTGCTGGTTATTAGCTTTAGCGATACTGACTGCCAACGTCAACACCGAAAACGCAAGCATTTTTTTCATCAAGCTGCAGCAAATTGCCGTTTCTCTGCCACATTTAATTAATATTATTTGAATTTATTTCCAGCTTTAATGCCAGCCTGGCTTTTCTCTCTCGGACAAGTGGTATTCAGCAATGCGAACATTGTTGTGCCTTACGCCCGTATTGCTAGCTTCGTGGCCGGTTTGTTGATCCCTCTAGGGATAGGCCTGGGAATGCAAAGATGGACGCCGAAACTGGCCGCTTTCATGGTCAGGATATTGAAGGGATTTTCCACAATATTGTTGCTGTTTATCATTATATTTGCGATTGTGACAAATTTATACATCTTCGAGCTGTTCACTTGGCAGGTTAGTTTTTTTTATCTTATCGTTTCTATTGTTATATTGATAAAAACGCTATTTAGCAGTTTTGTTTTAAAATAATTTTATTTTGTTCTCAGCTAACTGGCTATTAAGTCCTAAGTGTTAAAAATTAGTAAGGTCCGCTGGTTCGTGCCGTGGCTTAGTTGGTACTAATACTTCCTGGACGACCTCTTTCACAAGAAGCTCTATTGTTACTAACTCCGCTCTTTGCAGAAGGTATTTCTCTGCGATATGGTACAGTGGTACCTCCTGAGGCTTTAGATATGTGTAGGCAGAAAACTCCATCACCAATACTATACGATTCTATAACATACCTAAAGTTCAATTTATATTGTGGCGGAATGGAATGGAAGCGAATTTTGGTAACGATATTGTACGTAGCATATTGAACTTTATGGTCAGTTGTGTAACGTACAAACTTGATACGAGCTAAAATTTTTTACAAAAATTCGCTTCTATTCCGTTCCGCCGCAGTATAAATTAAGCCCGTCAATTTCTAACATAAGTTCGTAAACATTTCACATAAAACGTAATCGATTAAATCGCAAATCGAGTAAATCTGCAAATCAAAACTTACATAAAAACAGGTAAAAACATTACTAAAATTGATACGGCTCTAATTAGGCGGGAAATGATGGACATTGCCGTAACACTCGCGAAGTTACGAAGTGATACGATAATTTCATTGCAAAAATTAAAATTGAACCGAATAAATAGATCATTAGCATATTTAATTTAAATCTACATTAGCCAATTCTGGCTTAGTTGGATAGCGTCTGGCACGGTTTGCTAGAAGACGTTGGTTGGAATCCAGCAGGATCGAAGGATTTTTTTGTAAGTGTTTGATCTTTTTTATTAACAATTATTTATTCAGCTTATTAAGGCTTATTCAGAAGAAATTAATGACTAAAATTACAAACTGAAATGGATCCAATTCAGCGACTGCCATAGCTCGACTCTGTGATGCTAGTTTTCAGTTGGAGCCATTTTTATAGGTTAAGATGGCACGATAGTCCTGATGTAGGTTAACAATGAAATTATAACATGTACCTTAAAATTTAACTAAATAAAGTGGAAAATTACTAACAGTAGGATGGTAAAATAAAGTTAGACATCTATACAATAGAAATTAGAAAAATCTGCCATTATTGCCGCAAGCAATTACTTTTATTGAAATATTTATTGAATTGATATTCAATTATTTTTTGTGAAATCACTTCACTACTTTATTATAATTATTAATACAAAGATAGAACACTTAGAAAAAAATCCCTTCGATCCGACCGGATTCGAACAAACGTCTCTTAGCAAATCGTGCTAGACGCTGTGCCAACTAAGTACGGAACGAACCAGTAGCGGACCTTACGAATTTGTCTGTGCTTGTTATCGGATCTTTGTATTTGGTTTTAACGACTCTATTTACTTTTCTTTAAAAATAAATAAACAAATGATGATTATTTGCCACCGCTTTCCAGATTGTCGTAGCGGGCATAGCCATCCCGTGGCTGGGCTACGCGTTCGGCTACGCGCTCGCACGCGTGTGTAGGCAGCCGCACCCCGACGCGCTGGCCATCTCCATTGAGACCGGCATCCAGAACACCGGTATCTCCATCTTCTTACTGCGCTACGCGCTGCCGCAGCCCGCGGCTGACCTCACAACTGGTAAGGACCGATTACTGTAACAATGTATTCGGTCATTTGATTCAATATTGACGTAATTGTAATTTTGATAAAATTTAATTATAGTACGAATCATAATTATATGTCCAAAATGTGAACAAAGAAATGTCATTGCCTAAGTGTGAATTCAGGTGTGCTAAACATTCTATTTTTAATGAAATTGGAAAAGGAGGGGTTCTCATTTTCTTCAGTTTTAATTGTCGATTACATAATATTAACAATAAACAAAAACACGATAATTTAACAAACGCACTACGGAGACAAGAAAACATTCGAGTTCGAGAAACGAAACGCGAATGACATCTATGACACCACAAAATGGCGACACAAAAAATGTTTTTGATTCCGATTACCAAAGTCATAAAATTATTGTCGACCTTTAATCATATGTATTTTCTTATATTTATTATACTATACGAAGTTAAGCAAAATAAAATAGATTGCAAAATATGAATTGTTCTAAGTTACAGATTACAACTTAAAAATAATTATTAACGTTTATTAACGTAAGAAATGGAAACTACCAATTAAAATGCATTTTTTTTTGCTCCGTTAACCCCTTTGTTTACATTTTGGACATCTAATTAAGATTCATACTATAATCAAGATCTGTAACATAAAATGTGTTTACATTTGGAGAAAAAATGGCAGTAATTTTAAATTATATATATTGTAAAAATTACACAAAAGCTTTTTTTACACATCATTGAAATAAAATTAAAAATCAGTTCAAATCTATGTCCTGTAACGTTACAAAAAATACAATTTCAAATCCGCCTATTCTTGTTAAAATGCAAATGAATAAAAATGGATTTCGATTCCAGTAGGCCAACTGTCAAAATAAGAATGAAGAGGGCAATAACCCAGTTAGTAATCACATTCACAATTCAGACATGTTTATCAAAATTTTACGTACTTTCACAATCTATCGATAAAATTATCGACAGCAACTACATGACTATTTAAAATTTTATAAAAACTGGTAATCCTAAAAATGTAATTTTACCTTCAAAAAAGACATATTACAACTAAATAGATAAGTTATTTTGAAAACAATTAAAATCCGACAACATTTTTTAATATAACAAGCTAATTGAATTTCAATCGGTCTAGCATTCCAACTTCACATTTGCAATAGCAATGCGTCACTACAACCTAAAAGAAGTACTGCCATCTAACCTATTTCTGCCGCCAAGCAGTAATTACTGCATTACTGAGCATTACTGCGTTCCGGTTTTAATGGGTAAGGATGCTGAAGCACATGGGGCTTGTCAATTTACGTCTCTGGGTGACGGGCGCAGTGGCAGTGCCCCTCACACCTTTGTGATTCAAAAGTCTGAGCGACACTGCAACTGTTATGGACAAGCGTGTCGCTTACCACCAGACGCGCGACTTGTTCGTCCCATCACTGGTTATTATAAAAAAGTACAATTCAAATTATTTTTTTTCGTTCATTACTTTTTAAATTATTTTCTACTAGAACCACATTTTCTTTTTAATTTCCAGTGGTGCCAGTGGCAGTCGCCATCATGACGCCCATCCCTATGACGTGCATATACGTCGTTCAGAAAATAATGCAATGGTACGTACCAATTGACTTTTTCAAACACATTGATTAAATACAATATTTATGACATTATTGGAATTGAATTCGCGTATGGAGTGCACGATGCGGCAACGTCGCAATTGTCTGTCAATTTTGTTCAAATCATAGTCATACTTATTCAAATTCAAAACATGTATTTTAGATAAAAATCCATATGGTGTTGGTAAAGAAAATAACTTATGATCTAGTATTAGTATTAATTCTGGGGTCTTATAAAAATAAATATAAATAAATATAAAAAAAAAAAAAAAAAATTCTGGGGTGGAAATCGACTCAGGGCAGTAAAAAAAATCTTTAAGTGATAAGAGCGACGATCTCGTCGACAGGCTAAATGGACGTTTTTCGCTCTTATTGCAAGGACATAAAGATTTTTCTGACCGCTTAAGCCGATTCCACCAAATTGCAATGATACCCTGTGACCTATTAGTGAGAAGAAAAGATCTCGCCTATTTATTTACTATTTAACCGTAGCTTAAATACTCAAGTAACTGATTGTTGAAATTATGTTAAATAAAGTTAAATAAGTATATACGCCCTTATATGATTATTGCATACATCTTGTTTAGTGATCAGCAGCGAAATCGCAAAAGAACTGTTTTCCCAAATGAGTCAATTAAATAAATCGAATCATACAATTAATTAATTGATTTGTATTTGACAGTACGATCGGCCATCACTAAATCATGGTATAATAAGAGCAAGTAGGGCAACTCCCACTTGCTCGGCGTGTAAATGCCTACAATTCCGTCGGAGCGTAGGGTTGTTACATTAATGTTTTAGTTGTACCTACAAAATCTAAACATAATTTGAAAAAATTCGGTGTTCATCACAGTATTCTTGTGCTATATTAATATAACCTTTGTTAAATGCCATAGACGTATTGATATTTTTATACCAGTATCACGGTTATGTATCTTGATTATGGAGCATGATTATGAAAATAGACATGAAATTCTTAATAATTCTAAATTTGTGGTCATCATCATCAACCCTTTTATACGTCCCACTGCTGGGCACGGGTCTCCTTTCAGACGAGGGTTTAGGCCATTGTCCGCCATGCTGGCCCAATGCGGGTTGGGGGCTTCACACGTACATTCCAAGAAAGTACTCTTGTTCAAATCACCACAAACAATAATAAACACGTCTACTATTTGATGTCATTTTTTGTTGTCATTCGACTGTTTTTTTGTATGCGTATTTCGCAATAACACCAGCATTTGTAAACCGATTTTTAACCGACTTCAGAAAAAGGAGGAGGTTCTCAATTCATCTGTATGTTTCTTTTTTCGTATGTATGTTACGCGATAACTCCGCCATTTGTGAACCAATTTTGATGATTCTTTTTTTGTTGGAAAGAAGGTATCTCAGATGTGGTCCCATTTAAATTTCAAGAAAATATTCCACCTCTAAGGGTGGCAAACTAGGGGATGAATGACTTTTGAGGTCGGTTTTTTTAACCGGAGGTTAGGTTATGATGACTCTTTTTTTGTTGGAAAGAGGTTACCTCATTAGTGGTCCCATTTAAATTTGAAGAAAATATTCCACCTCTTAAGGGTGACAAACTAGAGGATGAATCCGATTTCGCGCACTTTCCGGTAACCGATGTCAATAAAACTTGACAAATAGATGTAATTCCAGTTTTTTAATACTCTGTACTGAGATTATTAAACACTGAGCGACTGCTTCAATTTTATAAAATTAATGGCGCCTGCGCAACCCACGCTATGCAACGCGAGTGCCCCGTGAGCAGCCTCGCCAATGTGTGGGGAAATTCAAATCGTTTGACCGTGATTGGGGTTTTTGTGGGGATTGGCGCTATGTAGGGACAATGCGGGCATTCTATTAATCAAGTCAAACCCACATAGCATCAAAAAATCAAAAGTGAGTTGAAATTCCCCACACATTGACAACACTGCCCGCGAGATTATGCGAATGTGTGCGTCCATGTACATGGCGTGGCTACGTTTGTATGGAGTTACCATACTTGTCTTATTTTACTATGATGGTCGGGTCAATGACCTGTTTGTTTACCTTTAATTTACGGTGGATTGACGACGAACTATAAGAAAATTCCAATTCTAGTCATAAATTGTGTTACTCATAATTTTATCTATAAATAAACACAAAACAAAGCATGGAATGATTCCTAGTAGAATGTATATGTTTAAAAACATAACACGGTTTGGCATGAAAAAAAAAGAGGTTGTTTTTTGACTACTCAAAAAACCACATTTATGTGTTGTTTGACTAAGCATGAAGTGATATTTTGGTTTGTAAAGCGTTGTCGTGACTTTGTGTCGTAACAATTTATAATCAAGATAATATAGGTAGCCAACATGTTCCCGATTAGTGCTTATATTAGCCATTTTATAGTTAAACTCAACCATAGAGCCTTAAAATCAAGGACCAATAAGGATGTGTCGAGTCCTAAACTAAAATATAATCAAGTGTCTTTTTCTTGGTTTATTGAAGATTTACCTTGGAGGTGAGTTTTAAGAGTTGATACTACCTCAGCTCGAATTCAATTTTTTCCCGTACTCATACGAATTATTTTCGTGGAGCGGCAGGGACACGAGCTTTATTTCAGATTTTTTTTTAAACGAAATAAAGACATTTGGAAAATGTATATCGCATACTATACGTGTTCTATTTAGTTCAGGTGATGTAAAAAAATCATTAAATCGCTGTATACAAGTGCCTATTGTATAAAGAAAAGCGGTTTTCTTGTAAAATTTCGAGGTAAGTTTGTGTAAAGAACACTCGTGAAAATTTGTAGGAATCGTGTTTTCACACTGTATACTAATCAGGGTATATCTTCAATTTAACTATATATTTTTTACAAAGTGATTGATTTAACATTTTCGCTGTTATGCGGAATCAGCCAAAGCCATTTGAGGTTGTATCAATTCTTAAAATCAAAGGACGTCGAGTAATTTAATCATTTGCCCGTTTCTTCGTTTAGTTTTACATTTGCGCAAATTGAAGATTGACCGTAGAGACGGGTCTTAAAGCCAAAGAGCAATGTACAGACGTCGAGTAATTCTAAAGCACTAAAGTAATGTGTAATCATTTGCCCTTTTTCTTAGTTTATAGTCGTTACCAAATAAGAGGCCAAATTTGACACTTGTCAGTTTGACGTGAATAGGGATGTGGACTAATCATATCGGTAATCACATTATACGATTTTCACGAGAAATCGATCCAAACTTTTAAGAGTTTGTGATTGTTTATATTATTTTTCGCGAGTTGTTGTATAGGAGGCCTAAAAGGCCAAATCGTGCAATTCTGTTAAAAGCAATTCATTTACAGAATTCCTTACAATTCGTCTTATTTTCGTAAAATTGTCCCACATTCCGATGAATTGCATCCATTTCTTTTAATTTCATTTTATAATATTTGTAAATGGTTTATTACGAAAATTTAGTGTAAATAAGTATGTTCATCGATAAAACAACTACATAAAAAGATTAAATTACCAAGAAACCAAGGATTTATAAGGAGGATGAGTACGGGGCTCTTTTAAATTTGATAAATTATAAATTTATTTGCAATAGGTGTGATCAGAGATGTAATCTACATAATTATGTAAAATACACCTATTTCTATACATTTTTGTTTTAATATGTAATAAGTGAATATTTTTTCCAATAAATCGAAGTGACTCGGTGAAATTCGACGATTAATTGCTTACAACACTATTATTTAAAAAAGTAGCTTGAGGACGTAACTGTTTTCAGGACGTTTCGAAGTAACTCAAAATTGCATTTTATTTTGGAACTCGCATTCAAAGTTACGTACTATCGCCTTCGTTAGCTGTCAAATTTGGCTTCTTATTTGGTGACGACTATAGTTTTATCTTTGTGCAAATCATGTTGGCTAAATGAGGCGTTAATTGCGAACATGTTCGCTTATAAATGAGCTTCTTTTAATACATCAAGGTCGCGGCGTCGTGTGAAACTACTACCTACGGTCTATTACACAAAACATCAGTGAATCGATCCGGAAACCACGTGTGTATGTTTTAAGGTTGAAACTTACTTGCCAGCACGCTTTAGCATTGTGCCCGCACTAAACATGGGTTATCGACAGCACGCTTAGTGCTGAAATGAAAACGCGTGCTGTTGCGTGTTGAAATAAAGATTGGCATTAAAAGTGACATCGGAAGTATCTAAGTTTCATTTTAAATACTGATGACAGGATGAATAAAAAAAAACGGATTGTTTTTTGGAAATATTTTTTTTTTATTTCTGATATTTTAATAACACTTTTCGGTTTCGTTACGGGTGATAATTGAAAATATCACCCATAAAAAGTCGACCTCAACAATTTACGGATCATATCCATTTTCTTCCAAATTTTATTTTTAAGAATTTTGAGTTTTATAAAGTCCATTTTTTTACAGCCACCATGGGCAACCAATGTCACTTGTGTGATATAGATCTTGCTAAACGATATTTTTAAAACCTTTCATTTTTTTATTTATTATCATTGAATACTTATTGTAATGCGTTTTACTTCCCATGTTTTATAATAATGATAAGTTAAAAATACAGTGACTCGTCTACTCGTTTGTCTTGTGATTTTGTTCAGTTCAATTAATGCTGTAGCTTTTTCCATATAACATTTTAATAAACTTTAAAATTATGTTATAACATCATTATAACAGTCACCATTCAAAACTGCTAAACCAATTTTCATGTCGTTATTGCAGTAAATTGTAATTGCAAGGTTTTTTTTTTTCAAATTCCTTATTTGAATAAATCAAATGTCAATGTCAAGAAATGAACCAATCAGGTAGCACCTAATGATTTTCTGATTGGTTGTTATTTTAACATTGACTTTTTATGTCTTCGATTAGCAATATAAAAACTGTACGACACTTATTATAAAAAAAAGTTTAAAGAAATATGTATTTTTTATTTTTCATATGATCCCATAAACCGACCGTCATTGGTACAATTGTTATTGGGCCATAGTTTCCAAGGTATGTTTTCATTAAATGTAAAGGAACGGTGCGTGGTGGTAGTGGTACACTTCACACTTTTGTGTTGTTTTTATTGGCAATGTTTTCAAAGAAACACAGTATGTCACTAACTTAAAACTCGCTGTCTATAAAAGCGTATGTATGTGGATAGGAGAGGTATGCATTAAGGGGAGGTATTTGGACACGATCCTGGATTTTACGCGCGCTTTAAATTAATATGAATAAAATAAGAACAGGCGGAGACAACTAGACACAGATCCGACGTTGATAAGCGCTTGATGGCGACTGATGGGACAGCGGCTGGAGCGGCGTGTCGTTGAACCGCGGGGCAATTGTCATGTTTTGGGATAAATGTGAATTGAATAACTGTAGGGCTTCAGGTGAAAACCGAAATTTAGCAGGTTCTCTGTAGTACTTAAAGAGAAATATATGTATGTAAAAATTATGTGCAAATTTAGATATTTTATTATTAAATCATTCATTTTAGATAAAGTATATCCTATCGTGTAGCGAAATACTATTTACAAAATACGTAAAAACCAATGTATATTTTCGTAAAAAAAAATCACTGTCATGGTTGTCTATTTAATGTGGATGACTTATTTTCGTTGTCTTTATGTAATATTTTTCTTATTTTTATGTAACCATATATATTTCCTATCTCATGAAATACATTTCTTTTGATTTCTTTTTCTGTAACGCATTTATTTATCTTCTAACTTCTGACACTTGAAAGATATATTTGAGGGCAAGAAAAGACACATATGGTTTTTACATTTAACACTGTTTATTTCTTGGACCGTAACATCACAAATAATGTGCATCGAATGTTCAAAAAAGCAGTAAAACGCGTTTTTGCTGTTATTACAATTGTAGAGCGGTGGTAGCCTGGTGGAAGAACGGTTGCTACTCAATTGTGAGGCCGACGGTTCGAATCCTTGTGACGGCATGTACCTATCTATGACTTTATTCTAAATTATGCATTTTTTAATGTTTAATAACAATACCTCTCATTACATCTTCATGCACGGTAAATGTCATTAGAATACTTGCACGTCAAAGATGGTTCATAACCCTCGGAAGGCGTGTCCCCAACCCGCATTACGCCAACAATCATCTCAAAGGAGTCGTATTGTGAGTTAACGATGATTACAATTGTACTAGAAATACTAAATTACTTTTCACACACACTAATCTCTTTTGTTTCTACCACCTATCTCTTTTCTTTCTATCATTCTTTATATGTTATATTTGTGTAAACTGTGTTTCTTTGAGCTCGTCAGCTTTTTAATCACAACGTGAATCGCAAATTGTGGGATTATATTATGTTTGTTTATAAGGGAAATGCATGCTGCTACTTGTAAATATGACTTGTGTAATAATATGAGCATTATATGTTTTTAGTTTTTCTTAAAAACCGTTAGCCATAAAAGCGGGAAGAGACGTGTTGACAACATCATATTCAGGGCTGGATTTACCACTAGGCGCCGCACGCTAAATGAGGCTATCAGCCCAAAAGTGATGTAACCCACATTTATTATTTTTTCCTACAATATTTCTTTAAATCATAGTTTCCCATAGCGGTCGCTAGTGACCACCCTGTGGGCGCTGCAGGTCTTAGGGGGGCAGTAGAGGCCTCGGAAGCAATTGGGGGGTGTTGATGTCCAGAGGGTACTATCGCGTTTGAAAAAATACCCTGAAGTATAAAGTAAAGTACAGTACACATTTTTTCTTTTTCCTTGTGATTGTTTATGTTAAGTTAATATGAAAAACACGTATTTTTGTGGTGGCACGCGTTGAAATTTATTTATCTTGTCTAATAGTTGGCGGTGAGGCAAGACGTTTGGGAACTTATGCTTTAAATGATACTAAATATCATATTACTCTTCGTATTACTTTAAATGTATAAAAAACAAGAATAATTAAATATTTTTTGTTCATGAAAATAGCATCTAAATATGAAATAATTAAGTACTTTAGTATAATTTAAAGTAATATTTAGAATAATAAATAAATGTGAGTTACACCACTTTCGCGCCGATAGCCTCAAATAAATATTAAACAAATCTTGGACCTAGAAGCGTTCAGTCATATTGATTGTTGAAACATAATCTCTTCTCAGTTAACATGGATATTGAGCCTTAGAATAGTTTAAGGTTAACATACTGCGGTTACAACCTGAACATTCCAGGTTACCTATCCTTAACATCTATTATCTATCCTAGCTATAAAGGTACTTGCTATACAGGGGCATGTGGTCTTTATTGTATTGCTAAAATATAGAATGTTCCAAAAGGTTAAACGGATACTAGTACAGTCGCTACTCATTTAGTTTTTCTCATCTTCTATATAAAGAAGTAATAAAGAATATGTAAAAAGAAATACTGGTAAAATAAAATTCTTATTTATTTAGTGGTGGGATCGAGAATAACGCGAACTTTTGTTCTACATGCCACTACTTCGAAAGAACTTTAAGTCCAAACCACTTCCAAACCACTTTATCGAGTTACGGTCAATTTACAATGCTGCGGATGGAATTGAACGGAATGGTGTAACGCAGTTGTACGTAGCATTATATTACCGGTAGTTTGTGCTACTAAAGTATATTATTTACTTTTTTAAATTTACAGACGTAATGCTCTAAAATCCGTATCTCGTTTGAAATCCGAACTTAATCTGTAATATACTCTTAAATAAAATAAACAAAGGTCTGTAATTGTGCTTACAAACGTAGTTTCGAATTGATAAAAAAAATAACGTCTTATAAACCTTTTTGCAACATTCTATCAAACATCTCGCTCGATATTTTTTTTAAATAATTTAATTTTCCTATTTGTTTTCCCCAAAGTGTCACCGACCGGAACACGCATAAAAAAATCGATGAATCAGACGGAGTACCCGAGTCGCGACAGCCCGACATCGCAACCATTGATGTCCGCAAATCATCAAGTGTGAACGGCGCCTTAGCATAAATAGGTGATCATGTTATGTTATTGTGTGCTGTGTTTTTCTAAAATGCATTTATTTGTTTTGATCAATTTGCTCAAACCATTTTGCATCATAAAGGTTCCAGGAGTGCAATACTTATAAATTTTAAATTCTGAAATTAACGATTAGGAATTCTATAACTCGTTTCAAAACTTTGGAAGAAGCTTCAGGGGTGGTTTGCGTGTGTCCCATAAGACGCCCTTTTTGCGAAAGTGTTGAATAGTGTCCTAGTCGAGGTCCCGCCTGGGCTCGGAAAACGTTCCGATCGGGAGAGGTAATCAAAGTCAAGCTGCAAGACCCACTATTTAGCTTATAATTAAGGTTTCTGCTCAAGATTTCTCGACTCGAGAAGTCTGGCCAAATTCGAAACGAAAATATCCCTGAGAACTCTCGCAGTCCGTAAACCTTTTTTAATTACTGAAAAATTGGCATAAAAGTTCGCGATTTTTTTTTAATTTCTCGAACAACTCGAGAAAATCGACAATCGGGTACGATGACTCTCGAAATTCGAGAAACCAAAAACACTACCTCTAATACGGGTTACAAAAGCCTTGTCTTTTTGTCTGGTAGCACTGCTAAACTCCTTCATAAAAAAGAAAATGATGGCAAGAAGGGTGGCACATAAATTTGCATTATTTAAATATTATGATCTAATACCTGCCCATTAAGATTTGTGTACATGAATTTCACAAAACTTAGAAAAGCACAGCAATACAATAAATATATATATTTTCCTATTTTTTTTTCTAAGATCTTAGGTGAAAATGTTTATGCCTACTTAACTGTATTACTATTACGTATTAAATGTCCAAACACAGGTGTGTCCATGTTTTGACCGTGAGCGGGGAATATTTTGTATGAGATTTTTTTCAACTATGTAACGTTTGTTGTTTTAATTTATTACACTTGGTTTGTAAATAGTAAATAAAAATACATAATTATCAAAAATCATGAGACATGATCACATGAGACTTGTCAAGTTATGTCTCCGGGTGTCGGGCGCAGTGGCGATGGCGGTGTCCCCAGATCTTTATGATTTTAAACTGTTATGGGCAGGCGTGTGGTTTACTGCCAGGAGCGCGACTTGTTCGTCCCGTCACTTGGTGTTATAAAAAAATAGTGGGCGGTGAGCCAAAAATCTGGGAACCTATGTATTATATCCTATAAGCTCTAAATTTAAGAGCGATATTTTCATTATAATGTATAGAAGTGCTTAACATGTGTGCCAACGGTACGCCGTGTTGGTAACCTAACACAAAGTCGAAATTTTTTTGTTCGAAATATCGTTTGTTCGAATTTTTATTACACCGAAAACCGAATTATAACGAAACAGTTGTACTTTCAGTATATGTTGAATATTTATCGCAAAGACACGATCAGGTTCGGTTAAGTTAGGTTTAAAAGAAAAAAACATTTTCCTCTCAAAATTACATTCGTAGTTATGAAATTTCGACCAAACGTTATTTCTGGAAAATGTCATTTCGGACTATTGATAGGTAATCCTTATTTTATTTATTCATATATCATTTGCATTGGTAGACACGTTACATTGGTACATACGAGTGCAAAAATTCGTTGTCTTATTTTAACAAATTTTTAATTTTATGCATTATTATGTTATTGGAATGTGGTTGGCTTTTTTTGAAGAACGTTAATAGGAGTTACCCGTTTCTTTCAACTATTGCGGCTAGATGGCAGCACATTGAATGAAATTTCAATATAAATTCATAAAATGTAGTAACTTGCAATAATAAGTATTGAACTTGCAATGATATGTCAACTGGGTAAAGTCTAAATTATATTAACAGTCCGAATATGTTGCATCTTTTTAAATTAGGAACTACGACCAATCATTATCATAGTAACAGAGGCTTAAGGCCATTGTTTTTTCTTTCCGTGTTGAAAACGCTGTAGGTGACCATTTTGTGTTCATATAGACACGCCGTATGTCAGTTTTTTGTCATAGGTAACATACAAAATAAATAAATTAAAACAACAAACGTTAAACAGTAAATTATTGCCTTCATATGTTTTGGCACTGCAAAAAGTATCTCAAGAAAGGTTCTTAGATGCTTCACTGCCTTGTTGCAGGGTAGAAGAACATTCCTATGGTATAAAAAAAATCCAGAAATGCATTGAAAAACAATTGTTGGAATATTGTCTATATGGAAATGATTCTCAGTTCGGAATGTTATACGTCTTTACAAACTATCTGAATAATATCAGATAAGATGGAATTATTATTTCAGATCCCTTAAAAAAATTTTAACGAAAAGAAAAATGTTGTTTACTACTGGCGTATCAGAGTTTGCTTTGAAACATGTTATGCGTATTATAAATGTTATCATTGACTTTTTTTTATGTCAACAATTTATTGTTTGTTTTATTTGTTACAATTTATTTTATATAATAACGTATGCTATTTAAAAATATGATCCTAAATCTTGTTATTTGTTTTTTGTACTGCGGAATTTTTAATAATAATAATATGTTCACTTATTATAGTAGATGTATATACAAATACGCATTTTACTTTTATCGTCCGGTGCTTTTATTACTACCTATTATTATAATTTTAAAAAGAATATATCTGTTACCAGATTGTAACCTGGCCTATAACTCTCGTTTGCCGTCCGAAATTATTAAAGTGAAATATGCAATAGTCGACTAGGTTAAAAAACGCATGATGCAAATGAAGCTTCATACTTGACATGGCTTTTTAATTTGGTCGAGTATTATTTATTTGACAGTTATTAATTATTTATTTCGTACGAAAAACGAGAGTTGACACCAGTGCCTGTTTTTTTTGCACATGATGTTCTTTACTGCCATGTATTAATACCAGAAGTACTCTTTTTACTGGCTTCGGATCTACGAACAAATCGTTACATATTTAAAAAATAAAACTGCAAAAATGTTGTACTTTTTATATGTATTTACATTATTATTGATGCAAAGATTGAACAAACACAAGGAAACATTCCTTAAATCAGGCTGAATTCGAACCAGCGACCTCACCATACCGGAGCTGACGCTCTCCCAACTTAGCTACGGAACGAGTCAGCAGACCTTACGAATTTTTCTGTGCTTGTTGCAGATCTTTGTTTTTGGTTTTTAACGACTTTTATACCGTATTTGTATCAAAAGTAACAACAAACTAGTGGAGTATTTTCACAATAGAGTTCTTGTATGTTAAGAGTCGTAAATGCCCGACGGCTTTAATGACTCGTGGTTTGTTATTTTTACCACCCGTACTACAACAACGATAATTTACTTCTTGTATGAATAAATATCGCTTAACATAGTATTATTGGCTTCACACAACATTAACGGATTTAGTAAATGGCGGGTATTTTGTTCTTTTAAACAATTTGTCAGCTATTCCTCCATAGATAATAATACAACTCGAACTAAAACTAAAAAAAAAAATTGTAAAATATAGTTAAATTGCAAATGTTTAGTTTTTTCATACTCCAAGTTTATGCCAAATATATGTTCAGATTTTTCTTGCATAAAAACTTTTTGCTTAATCTTGACGTAAAAAATCCATAGAGTAATAATCCATAGTAAATCCAATAATGTAATAAACAAGCCCGGTGAGCATAATTTAGGACATTACAGTCGAGTTTGCCTGCATGTCTTACTAATACACTGTATACGAGCAAGTGTGATTAAAAGAAATGAGTATCATGGGACTAAATATACTTATTGTTGTTATCAAACATTAGAGGCCAGGTTAAATGCACTCACAAGAGGGTGATGTATGCATTTCTCTCATTGTTAATGTTACTTTGTAATATTCTGATTACATCACGCCCTCTTGTGATCGTGATATTAGTCAAACCTCATTGGTCCATACTGCCACCAATTACATGGCTAGTTTTATATGTGGAACCTGTTCCGACCAATGACAGATAATTGATGTCAGTATTTTGTTAAGTTAATTGTAACTATGTCAGATCGTGAACAATACTTTGTTAAAAATCTTAATACAAAATGATTTGCAGAATGTTACCGTCTTTTTATTCAGTCCTGATACATCCACTTAATATTATAATATGAAAAACAAGTTTCACACGTTCGTTGACTTTTTAGAGCCCAAATGTAAATTGTCACACTGCAACCAAATTGTTTTTCTCTTTTTTTTAGTATTTTTTATTAGTACCTACAAAATAGCTATTTTTGTAACTAATTTGTTTTTGTTTTGGTATTAATGGCTTTACCATCGCATTTAGCCAATGAAAGGGTTGGTAAAACAGAATTACAGATTATGGAAGAGGTATGGAATTTGGATGGGAAAGGATTTGATAGGTTGGGTAGCTATTATATATCGGCATACATATTAAAGCTTGATGTTATTATTTTCGATAAATGAGGCCAGAACATTATAAACAACTTTGTTGCATAAAGATGGTATATAAACTTGTTACGGAGGTGAGGAGGACACTGATTGCCAGGAGCTCGGATATAAAAAAGTATCGTGGTCGATTAAGGGGCTGGAGAACAAGATATGGCTTAGATCCCCATAGACCTCGCATGAGCATGCAGGGTCAGGTACAATTTTGAGTGAACAGGTGCGCAAGAGTTGCCACGTGACCAAGTCGTAGCATACAAATAGTGGAGGTAGTTTTTTTTGGAAAGTTGCATCTTGCTGAAACCATTGACAAACTACAATTTATCAAAGCTACTTTAATTTCTAGTGATAACAAACAAATCAACTAGATGGCGCTTATTGCACAGATTTTATGGATAGCGCCAGCTATTTTATTTTGTTTAGGATTGGCGCCATTTACTCGTATTAGGAAGCGTTAATTTATAAATTAGTTTGTGACACATAATGCTATCTAATGACGTGCATATTTGTCAAAGTTTAGACAACAATTTCAGCTCATGATCAACATTTGAATAATATTACAAGAAAAAAAAACTGACCACTGTGTGCCTTATTCCAGCGTGACCATGGTCGAGTTTTTGAAATTTGACTAGCCAGAAAAAAGTCCCTATTTAGTCGTTTCTAGTCGCAAAAAACTAGATTTAGACGGTCCGCCGTTCAAAAGTGATAGGGGTGTTTTACTCTCCACGCTGGAATAAGCTTATTTCGGCGGCACCATTTCTCAATCTCGAGAGCCACAACACCTAACTTAGATCTGATCACACTAAAAAAGTCGTGTTTTATTCGTAAAAACTAGATTTAGTCGTTACACCGTTTTGAATGGTTGGACGGAGTATAGATATACATTTTCCATTATGTGTACGATTTTTCTACGTAAATGTACCTATCAATGAAAATAATTGAATATCCAATATTTTCTGAACAAAGGGGCGACTAATTCTAAAATTTCGCGACTAGAGCCGACTAATTCACGACTTTTCTGGGTGCAATCAGATCTGAACTAGGAGCTGTGGTTCTCGAGAATCAAAAATGGTGCCGCCGCAATAAGCTTATTTCAGCGTGGACAGTAAAACTCCTTAATAACTTAAAAACGGCGTAACGAGTAAATCTACTTTTTTACGACTAGAACCGATTAAATTACGACTTTTTTAGTGTAATGAGATCTAAGCTAGGTGTTGTGGATCTCCAGATTGAGAGATGGTGCCTCTGGAATAAGCTTATTCCCGCGTGGAGAGTAAAACATCCTTATAACTTTTGAACGGCGAACCGACTAAATCTAGTTTTTTGCGACTAGACCCTACTAAATAGCTTCTTTTTTCTGGCTAGTCAAATTTCTAAAACTTAACCATTGGTTACGCTGGCACACCTGATTACTTGTATTCCATATTAAAGTGGAATTAATTGATATCCACGCCATTTACATAATATAAACTACTTCCAGGTTATTGATCAGCGCCAGCTAGATGTAAGATGGAATGTTGACCTTATTCAGAGTTACGGTCTGTAGTATGGAGATTGTCCTCTTGACTTATTGGTCCACGGTTTTACAGTGGCACAAACACTAACCGTAGAGTCCGAAATAAAAAAATAGTAATTCCAAACTCAAAAAAAAAGTAAGAAATCTATCAATAACAGACTCGTTGACAATATAGTAATAGTTAAGTATGTAAAAGAAATAACACTTACTCTTATCACAAATACAGCAAAAATGATTTTCAAATATCACAAAGTGTTTTGAATCCACAAATTAAACCATCCAAATACAATGAAATAGTACCGGAATTCGCATCTACCATATTAACACTCAAGAATAGCTAGCTTCCAAAATGAAGACCAAGTACGATCCGCCAACTACCACCTTTCCCTACAAAATAAAGAACAGACTGAACTTGCTTAGTATACCTAGGAAGCAAGTTATAGTAGATAGCTCCGAGGGTATGCCCGCCTTAAGTACGACTGGAGTGAGGAAGTCTGCTCTACGAGGACGAATCTCGGACCGAGTCAACGACGCTGCATTACCCTACATACGGTTGGTATCATTTTGTATTTATTTTAAATCGCTATCAAACGTTCAAGTGTATTTGTCTTAAACAATTAGGTATTACATTTATTTATTTATTATTTTTATTTTATTTAGCAGCAATAGAGCTCCTTGTGAAAGAGTTCGTCCAGAGACGTTCTGCCACTTTACCTATTTCTGCCGCCAAGCAGTAATGTGTGCATTACTGCGTTCCGGTTTAGAACGGTAAGGTGCTGGTGAAATTACAGGCACATGGGACTTGTCAACTTATGTCTCAAGATGACGGGCGCAGTGACAGTGCCCCTCAGATCTTTACCATTTAAAGCTCTGAGTGGCACTGCAACTGTTATGGACAGGCGTGTAGTTTACCATCAGCCACACGACTTGTGCGTCCCGTCACTTGATATTATTAAAAAAAGTTACAATATCCGATTTTTAGGGACCCTACGTCAAGGGTGGGTTGGGCCCGTAAGGGCGCGTGTTCACGATTAGAAAGCCGGGTCTATGCAATAACTCATGGCGTTTCTACATACGAACTGTGTACACTGTATCGGCGCCGGACAAGAAAAAATCTTGCCTACCCCCGACACGCCGCGTTCTACCAGTTGTATGGGACGGGGTTAGGTGCATTGTCAGTAAACGAACATTTATGCGGTGGACGGATGTTGCTTAGTAGTCAACATGTACTACAACATATTTCTTCCCACATTCGGTAGTAAAACGACAGGTACCTGGAAGACTCTTAATGCACTGACACATTTTACCCTACACACGTCTATCCGAAGGCATTCGTATCGTGCATACTCATCATTTTCTCGTCTGCAACAGGCACGATTTGTTATCGTGACTAGATCCGACAAAGTTCTTGTCGAAGACCATTCTCGTCTTAGCAGACACGTCGGATTTCTTAGCGTGTACACGCGCCCTAATTAGGGCGCCGTTGCACAGGGTTATTTTTAAAGCACTAACAACCTTCTTTTTTTATAATATCAAGTGAAACAAACATACCGTGCGCCTGGTGGTAAGCGACACGCTTATCTATAACAGTTGCAGTGTCACTCTGAGCTTTAAATCGCAAAGATCTTAAGAGGCACAGCCACTGCGCTCGTCAACCTGAGAGATAAGTTGATAAGTCCTGCATGTGCCTGCATATGCAATTTCATCAGCACCCTTACCTGTCAAAATCGGAACGCAGTAATGCTCACATTACTTCTTTGCGGCATAAGTAGGTAAGGTGGCAGTACTTCCTTGGGCGAACTCGAAAAAATTAGTTTACTAAGGATGAAATTTATTTTAGGTCTAACAAATTGCGTTGCCCTACAGGGTTACGTGATTGTACATTATATTATTTGAAGACTTTTATATTTATTACTCATGTAATGCAATGAATAGGTATGAATATGAACTCTTTCACAAAGAGCTCTACTTGTTACAGCTATTTTGCAGGACTATATTACTATCCTTAAACAACAACTTTTGGTCCATAACTTTTTACTAAACATGATAAAATTACTAAAAGTAAACTTTCAAGTTTTTGTTGTACTGTCTGAAATTTTTTAGTTCAATTTTTTATTTATTATATTTATATATTTTTTATAATATCAAGTGTCGCGCCGAACAAGTCGTGCGTCTGATGGTAAGCAATACGCCTGTCCATAACAATTGCAGTGCCACACACAGAGCTTTAAATCGCACTGCCTTTGCGCCTGTCACCCCGAAATATAAGTTGACAAGTCCCATGTGCCTGTAATTTCACCAGCACCCTTACCCTTCAAAACAGGAATGCAGTACTACTGACATTACTGCTTGGCGGCAGAAATAGGTAAGGTGGCAGTACTAACCTGGACGAACTCTTTCACAAGGTGTTCTACTGCTACAAAATTAGTTCAAATGTGCAAGCGTCCTCCCTTAAGATCCCTAGCTCCGCTTCCGTGTTTTTCACAGAGGTATCACCGTTTAGAGCGATCTATTTCAATAAATTTTGTTTTGTACGAAATTAATTGACGAATTATTGAGTCGTCAAAAGTTGTTGTTTATGATGTTAGTAAGAGCCCGTTCCCACTTGTTTAAAACCGATTTTGTGTCAGCGTCGACAAGAAATGTCGGGTAGTTTGCCAGCCCTTTACGTCCGGAAAACAATCGTGTCGGATCTCGCTCGCCTATTAATAAGTATGGCCTATGAATAATAGGTATTGGGGCCGACAACCCGTGCTTGTTTTTGCCCTCAGGATTGGGTGCGCCCAATATTTCTTTCCTTAGCTGTTTTTATTCGTTTTCTTCTCAAATAAAGAACTTCGTCGACGTCTATAACGCACAGAGTGTTAAAAATTGGCACCAGTTTTGACCGTGGCCGACAGCCGATTATAGTGTGACCAGAGGCGCGGATACCCGATTAGGATCCGGGCCCTACAGGCGGCTAGTGAGAACGGGCTGTAATTATAATCCTGTGAGGTTGTTACTTTTTTATAAATAACCCTGATAACAGTTAAGCCGCTAATGAGTACCCGGCTTAACACTTCCCTAAGTTAGGGTTAGGAACCTTTGATACCGACTAGTGTAATAAGCGTTTGAATAATGGAAAAGTCCTAGCCGTGAGTAAGACGTAAATACAGATATGATATATGGAGCAATGTGATTGGTCACTTTGAATTTCTCACTTCTCGTGGTGTGAACGCCTATGATTGGTTAGTTTATTATTTTTATTTATTTGCTCTCGCTTTCACGTAAATTCAAAATACTGCTCGGTGTACCGCGTCACATAAACATAGTTATCTAACTGCCCGCGACTTCGTCTGCTTCGAGTAGCCTACTGTACTATACTAATTTTCATAGTTTTATTGGTTCTTCATACAAAGTTTCATCCCCTATTTCAAGTCTTAAGGGCGCCTTCAAATTAGACGCCTATAGAAGCGCTGCAGTGACGCGTGAGCAGCGCGTTTCGTCTAAGGGCGCGTTCCCATTATGTCGTGACGACAGATAGTGGTGCAGTTTCAAGGGCTTGTATATTTATGTACAGTTGTTCACACGTAGAACAACACGATAGTTAATCGCCGTTCATGAGTTTTTTGACGCTACGACGACAGACTGTCGCAACAATGGGAAGATAGAAAGTCAGTCGTCAGGCGATAAATAAACGTCATGACAAAAATGTGACGACAGGTAATCGCAACTTCAAACGACTCTGTCGTGCAAACGACAAAGCGGCTACCGTTAACCGATAAATTGTACCTATGAAAATTATAAGTGGCGCGGCAGCCGTGTGTCCGTAGCGCTTCAACCATTTGTCGTTCACTTATTGTGACTACAAAAGCGCGGCAGCCGCGCGTCTTTAGCTCTTTTCAGTATTTTTTAGTTAAATTCTTGTGACAACAAAAGAGGCGCGCGCGTGTCACGACAGTGGCGCTGTACCTAACTGCGCTTCGATATTGTATGAAAATTAACAGTAGCGCGGCAGCCGCGCGTCTTTAGCGCTCTTCAGTATTTTTTACTTAACTTCTTGTAACAACAAAAGAGGCGCGCGCATGTCACGACAATGGCGCTGTACCTAACTGCGCTTCGATGTTGTATGAAAATTAATAGTGGCACGGCAGCCGCGCTTCTTTAGCGCTCTTCAGTATTTTTTTAGTTAACTTCTTGTGACAACAAAAGGCGTGTCACGACAGTGGCGCTGTACCTAACTGCGCTTCGATATTGTATTAAAATTAATAGTGCCGTGGTAGTCGCGCCACCGACGCGCTCCTATAAACGTATAATTTGATGATGCCCTAAATGTTACACTACGTGTCCTTGACCGTATTAGGAAAAGTATTAAGCAAAAATAAGCAAACCTGCAGACATGAACAATGGTGCGGTATAAAGTCTTATACATATATTACTGTGTTCCGGTTTTCAAAGGTAAGGGTGCTGGTGAAATTACAGGCACATGGGACTTGTCAACTTACGTCCAGGATGACGGGCGCATAGTGGCAGTGCCCCTCAGACCTTTGCATTTTAAAGCTCTGACAGGCGTGTACCTTACCATCAGTTGATGTCCCGTCATTTGATGTTATAAAAAAAACTACTTCATTTATGTAGTTATTATCCACCTAAGACTCAAGAAACTACATTGGAAAAAGCGCTAAACGCCCTATGTGTGCACATTAAAATATACTAAATATGGGACATATACAGTTTTGCATGAAAGTGCCTACCTACTGTAACTAAAGACTGAGCTGGCAAAAACTGTACGATTACTGCTTTTTTATTTACAGTTTTACTAATTGTAAAAACGAAATATAACATTCGTCGATAATAAGTAGGTATTTACAGAATTAATTATGGAATGTTGTAGTACCTATTTCAATTGTATTGTACACTGACAGACGGTTGATGATGCTAAAACGACAATACAAAAAAGTATTCCCACTTGAACGATTGGAAAAGATAGACCACTTGATCGAACAGGGTAACATCACTATATATTCCAAGTTGGCGAATTGCGTAATCGATCTCAAAAAGCAGGACACGAAGGACACTAAAAAGAAGAAGTCATGGACTGAGAACGATTGGAAGAAACATATGGACTACATAGGCCAAATCGCTGGTCCGAAGAGAGTCTTCCCACCACCGCCTGTTGAGGTACGTAGCCCACACAAAAATTCATAAGTTCACAGGTCGTTTGGGATGACTTCTCGGGTGTGGTCATTGATCGAATGTGAGTAATTTCCTTAATGTGTGGATCAAAGTAAACTAAATGAAAGCAATATAATATAAAGGATGTAATCGTTAAGTGTGTCCAGGCGATTCCGTAAATATAAGAGACATCAAAAACCTATAGACTGATATCTAAAGTAAATTACATAATAAATAAAGCTTCTAGTAATCTCCGGTCACCCATAGTGGGAAAACGGCCGTAATTACTTGTTTCGTGCTTCAGGAGTAGGCCCCTCGTAAAGAACCCGAAATGTTGGTTTGTTTCAAAACACAAACATGCACGATTTTAAATCCGAAAAAATAATTTAATTTCCAATGTGTTGTAATGTATTTTTATTAGTAATACCTAAGTAATAACTGTAAGTTTGTATACATACATAATGTATAATATTTAATATTCTGCAGCGAGGGCAGAAAGTGGCACTAGAAGAGCTCTTGTATAGAATAAACCAAATATCGTGGTTGCCGGAATTCAAGTTGTACAAGAGAATATCGCAGGAAGATTGGTATAGGAATCCTACTAAGGTAATTCTTGACTTTTCCACATATTGGAGCCAACTTTACAGTTTTAACTTTAGACCGTAAGAGCGGTAAGACAGGAATCGGAAGTATAAGGTCACCTTTAAATTAGAGGATTATATAAGCGCTGCAGCGTTGCCACTACAGTTGCAGTTCCACTGTTATGACACGCGCGCCCCATTTTTGCAGTCACAATTATTTATTTAGAAGGAAGATCAACAGTTTAAAACTAAATTAAATAATAATAGTAAAAACGGAGAGCCAATTAAAGATCCTCACAAATATAAATATAATAGGGTAACTGGGAGCACAATTTTTTTGTGAACTTAGTGAAATTAATGAACTAAAAAGTACTGAAATGCTACAGACGCGCAGTACATTCGCGCCACTGTAGCGTTTCTACAAGCTTAGGTATTGTTGACTGTAGAGCGTTTTTTATTCCGCTGGTAATAAATACCAGCGGTATAAAGAAGCACATAAAGTGTACCAGCTAGTTTTACTTAAACAACTGACAAAATGAATTTTTTTATTACACAATATTTTGGGGCCTTTTTCTAATAAAATATTTGCAATAAACTTTACAAAAACTTTATGCAATAAAAAAAACAGTCTAGCGGGTGCATACGACGTGACACATTTTATGGACCGTCCACCTGTCACCTCGGGAGAACAGTGATGGATTATTGTTTAATTTTATTTACAACTTATTTGCAGTCTCCTATTCAATAATTCCGAATCAAAAATGATACACACGATTCCAAATTAATATTTGTTACTCATCTATTGACTGTTAATATAATTGCTCCAAACGTTCACCTATTTAGTTTATTTCTCTTAACATTACAAATTTAATACAAATGCAATTAATTACTACCTACGTGTCATTTTATACTATTCTTCGAAAAGTGAGCGTCAGTTTACAAAAACATGAAGAAATAATTATATAATAGTAAGTCATAAGTACACAATAGTGTATACATACAAATCCACATAATTAATGAAACTAAATAAATAATTGATTTTTAAGTTTAGTAATAAATATAATAAAGTGTAATAAAGAGAACCGACTTTAAGAATCGGGGACACAATTTTATTTGCAAGGCGCGTCGGCTCTGCGTGACACAATTACAAAATACTTTGCAATGACACAATGAGCTAAAAAAACTTAAGATAAAAAAAACATTTTATTTTGTCCGACCCGACCGCGCGACTACACGGAGTTCTAAAATTACATGTTAATATAGTAATAAAGTTGAGTGTGTGCGTTATTATTTAATGACATAGCATAGTCAGCAATACATTGTCGTGGCGCTTGTTCTACTACAACAGCGCTTGGGAATTAAGGCAGTTGAAGCTAATATAAGAGGGTTTATCAACTACTGATGTTTCTATTACAATTGAACCGCTCCAACGTCAACTTCTTCCAACGAATTCTGCCTGAACCCTTGTTAAAATAAACAAAAATATTATGTGACATCGTATTACTTTTAATGTAATAATAATATAAAAATATTTTTTACTATAAACTGCATTAGGACTGGCATGTTCTAGAACAAAAGTCCTAAAATTAAACCAAGATTAAAAGAATTCCCTCTGGACTTTTTGGAGGGAAAAGTGTCGTTTTTATTTTGACTTTCAATTATTTTGTGAAATCTAGTTTAAAGTGGAATAGGATAGCGCTATTGTGCCTTAATCGAAGATTAAAACGCGAAATTATACGAATCTCGAACTAAAATACCCGTATCGGCCCGTTTTAAAAAATCCCGCGTCAATCCAAGCACGCCGCCTCAAATTGCCTATCCTCTTTGTGGCGGCCATATTTACAGAAACATAATTAAACTTCATGTTTAGGCTGATGGCTTTGCCAAAGCCTTAATAAATTAAAAAAAAATTCATGATTAAAAAAAGAGGGTTTATATGTGACACGACAGACCTGTGCTTAAACTTCCGCAAACGCTTTTCACATTTGTTTCCATTTCTGCTTCCGCAACTTTTATAATGGAACTTTAGTTGGAAGTTTACAATGTTGGCAACGGATCAACAACAAGTCCTGTTTGGAAGTATTTCATAGAGGTCTACCATTTCCGCATCCGTTTCCGCTAAGATTTATTTTTAACATATGCACCATACATAGTTTATACCATTAACACGTGGAATGTTTCTGTGGGAACATACCAAAACGCGGATAGCGGACGCCATTAACTTCACGAATCCAACTCTAAAATGTGATTGTTTGTTGACAGGTTTCCCCAGCAGCTATGAAATACGTGATAACAGACAACATGAAGAAGTTGGCAGCACCTAAAAAGGAGTTCACAGACATGTGAATGGTTAAAACATACGTGACAAGAGACAATCACAAAAAAAAAAGTAAATGTTATAATGAATATCGCATTTAACTAACCTAAAAACGAATGCCAAAATGTATTAGAATCAAAATGGCATTAAAATATTTCGGAAGCTAGCTGATCTCGAGAAAAGGCAAATTTATTTAAGGCAAACTATTACACATACCTTAAAATTTCTAATTACAAATAATCATTAACACGCTAGTTTAATCAACAGTCAAAATTGCAAGACTTAAAAATGCAAATTTAACATATTAAATTATTGACATAAAATAAAACCAATTGTATAATAAATTAGTGGAAACCACAAATTAGAAAGTTATGTGGAAACAAAGGGGCCCGATATAAACATGGAGTGCTTAAATCACCAGTATCAAACGACTTGTTAAAATTACCTGCTTTGAAATACTATAGAGGCATTATCAATATCATTATTATAATAAAATCATTACTATAAAAAAATTTTAAACTATACTGTTTTGGATAATATGTATCGTGCATATTATCCAAAACAGTATAGTTTAAAATCAGGTTAGCTAGACTATATTTTTGCCTTCGCACTTATATACTATTGCACCTTTTTCCCACTAAAGTAAGCGCAAACTATGGACTTCTGTCATCTACGCTCCTAACCTACTTTTGCTTCCTCCGCCAATATCAGTAATGGGTTTTTAAGATAATCCTTAATATCTTCAAAACGTGTCGTGGTCGAACATTCCCCACTTTTTCATCCACATTCGTGTGGGTCGTTATTAATAATCCATCCTTTCACACTCACAGTCACTATATCAACGAAAATGAGCCATAATCAATTTATCCAGATTTCGTAGCGTTCGGAGCTCTTTCTTGGCCAATTAGCCTATATCAACGAAAAAGAATCATATAATAATAATAATAATTCGTTTATTTGGCTTAAAACATGGTATAACAGAAGATGTTACAAGAGACAGTGTATAATTATTGGTTTGGTGTTTTTTTCTGTATCAATTTATCCAGGTTTCGTAGCGTTGGAAGCGCTCTTTTGACCATTTAGCCTATATCAACGAAATAGTCATGTATCATTTGGTTTGGGTTTTTTTGTGCATCAATTTATTCAGGTTTCGTATCTGAGCTCTTTTTTGGCGCTGCAGACTCTATCGGAAATTGAGTCGTACGTATCATTGGTTTGGGTTTTTTTCTGCACAAATTTATTCAAGTTTTTTGGCGCTTCAATAAGAATAATTTGCTTTAAAATTACCTCCTGGTATATATCAAATAATAATATGGCTTTAAAAATATACATATTTTTATCTTTACACAAACTATATGATTTTTCACAGCTCTCTTTTGTTACATTGCTCCTTTCGACATTTATAATTTTACTGCAATTGTTACAAACGCAAATTAACAGCAAATATGATAAAGTTTCTTATAATTACGTTAATTGCATTAGAGAGCCTGCATCTTATAATATATAATGTGATCGTACAGTTCGGTTTTCTGTACAGTTTGCTTGGGCTCTGACCATGTGATGAAGTATTGTGCGTGCAGTATAATATTCGGTCTCTAGTCCTTTTACGACAAGTAATACGCAATAAAACAGTAAATAAACAATTCCTATAGTTTTATTTCCATATTTACATTTTGGTAACATTTGGTAACAAGACAAATACTTAACAAAATACTGTTTATTAACACATTTCGAAATTCCAGATCTTGTAACAATAAAAACAAAATAAATATAAAATAAATTACATGATAACTACTTGATTTAGGCGTAAAAATTAACTATGACATAACATTACGATATTTAGGATCACCTCAACTCGATATAACTTATTTTGCATATTTTTTAACAACCTTTATAAGTTGTGTTAACACCCTTTGGAAAGTGTGTTACCACCCTCTGTTCTATTTTTATAATTTGCCGTTTTAAGTTTTTACTATAAAGTTTTGCTATACAGGTTTACTATACAGGATTGTACCAACCTGTGTAGTAAAAACTGTACATCTTTTAGTGTGTGTTAATAATAATACAAAATATTCATATATTTTAAATACATATTCATGTACTTGAATATCAGACTCTTACCCTACGGTACAGCCACCAAAAAAGAGTGGTCGTTTTTTACATAGTTACTTTATAAAATTCTTAATGCCTGATCTAAAACTGAGGTGTCCAAGTAAACCCGAGTTAGTCCAATTTAGACTCTATCGACCACATTATTTAGTGATCAAGGAAATGAATGACGGCGTTGGTGAAATCTTTCGTAGTCGACTGTCCGCCAAGGTCCTTCGTCCTTATTTTACCGTCTTGTAGTACTCTGAAAGAAAAATATAAAAATTTATTGTCACGTTGTAGACATCCGTACCCGGCTGCACCTCGTTAGAAATAGAATTGTGATATCGTACCACTTCAGGATAGCGTTATATCATTCATGATCATGAGTAACACGTTTGTTGTGTGTTGGTAACAGTGAGTCAGCACACACGGCCATAAACGTAATATGGTTTGCACAAAGCTGATTTGTGATAAAGCTCGACCTTGCAACTGCTGTGTTTATTTGTGTGTTTTTTGTAAATTTCAGACACATAGGACTTGTCAACACAAGTCTCAGGGTGACGGGGACGGTGGCAGTGCCTCTCAGATCTTTGTAATTTGCTCTGAATGACGCTGCAACTGTTAGGAACAGGCGTGTAGCTTACCATCAGGCGCATGACTTGTTCGTCCAGTCACTTGATATAAAAAAAATCCACACGATGGCTTTTATGAGGTTAGGTGATAATTCTAGCTAAAATTACACGCGCATGTGCAAATCAGTCAATTGTTGTTATGTTAAACCATAAAACTATTTCATTGATAATTGAAATGAATAGATAAGCCATTTGCCACTTTATTCTATCAACTTGTTATGGAATATCATGAGAAAAATCTTGTAGAAATTATCCCGTCACTCCTCCCGCACCGCGCATCTACCTCAGGAACTGAGGCAGTTAAGCGGTAGGCCTGTAGAAAACAGCAACATCCGCGAGGAGGACGACGGGGCAGTGTGGCTCAGTTCGTCGTGAATCGAGAGGAGGGGGAGTACCCGAGTAGGCTACCGTGGGGATTAAGTCGGTAGGAGTCCGGCATAACCTCTTTGCTGCCCCCGCGGTAGAGGTGATGATACTTTTTTAATTTTATGTAGGCAAAAATTGTTTGTTGTTTGTTTGTTTTCATCAGGCGGGCCGTATGCACAAGCATACCTGATGGAAAGCGGTCACCGTCGCCTATGAACGCCTGCAATACCAGGGGCGCCACGAGCGCGTTGCCAACCCTTTAGGACCCTTCGCAAACCCCGTTTGAAGGGCCCCATGCTGTATTCCTGCGGGAAAACCCGACAGGGAGTTCATTCCACAACCTAATTGTACGTGGGAGAAAGCTCCTCTGACACCCTACAGTACGAGACCGACTCGTTTCCAGTGGATGGACCCCTTGCGGGTGGCGAGCGGTGCGATGATAAAATGTTCAGAACATTGGCTGTTGTTGTATATGTGTAATTTTGTATTGGATACTGACTTGTTGATGGCGTTCTTGATCATCTTGGAGTAGGAGTGAAGGTTGACGTGCGCCAGCGCATTGGCGGAGCACAGCAGCATGGCCGTGGGGTTGGCGATGTTCTTGCCCACGGCACCGGAGAACACGTGGCGCGCCCCCTGTCAAGGCCATTCGTCAAGACCACTTATAACGGCCCATAAAAATGGCCGCCCGTATACAGGCTTATAAAAAACACTAACATCATCATAAACAACAACTTTAGTTCCATAACTTTAATTATTCATCAGATTGAAGACAGAAAAAAACAATATTTAGATAGGCTTATGTCCAGCAGTGGACTGCAATAGGCTGATTGATTGGATAATACAATAAACCTCACAGGACTATATTATATAATACTATCATCATAAACTACAACTTTTTAAATTATCAGTCGGATTTTACTTTCATACAAAAATAAAAATAATTATAGATCGCTCTAAAATGGTGACAACTCCGTGCGGTAACAAAAGATACCAGTCCGATGCAAAACACAGAAGCAAGGGGCGGGGTCGTCGTTGATGACGTTTGCACGTTTGAACTTTACTACCAAATATAGATTAATAGAATTATGTTTTGTGTAGTCATGGAACAAAAGTTGATGTTTATGATGTTATATGTCAACCGACCAAATGTTATAAGTCAGACCACGTCCGCGAAGCTACAGGGACGCGGGGGATGACAACAAAGGGAACCGTGCGGCACGCGTAATTTTGATTTATAAATCCCCCGCGCCCCTGTAGCGTCGCGGGCGAGCAATATAGGAGGTATACACAGCGGAATGTTTATTTACTTTATATAAAAACTACAGATAATAACTACAAACAATACTCATTAAACGAATAGTTTGTATTTTTATTGAAGACGGAGTAAATTGACAATTGCGGTAGTTTGCGTAAAATGTTCGAAATTTAAATTATTATAGATTTTAAAACTAATAATTAATGGGCATGGAAATTAATATTCGTGTGCGTTGGGAAATCCGATAAAGATTGATTGCAGAGGGAGATTGAGAAAATAGAAGCACTGTAGTTGTTGTTGATAGTTTTGTCGAAGGAATGTGAAAGTAGTAGTAGGTGTAGTGAAAACAGGTGAAAATTTGCCAAAAATGTGAATTATGAATGTTACGACGTTCTAATGATCATATAATTAATAAAATCATAATTGCGTTATTTCCTTCTTCCTTCTTATTTTAACTGTTAGCCTACTAGTATCGAAATCAAATTTTATTTATAACAAGATCAGGCGGATTTCATTATCTGTATTGAACTAAAATTGAAAAACTTTAAAATATGTCTCCTATTTGTATGTTTAATAGACATAGTTCTAAATGCATGTATGAACATGCATGCATGTATGTATGTATGAACTTACAAAAATTGATAATTAAAATGAAACAAACTCGACTATTTTATTGCAAGCGTAACCAACATTCAGTCGATAGTCAGTAGAATATTTATCTACTGCAATCACTAGCTACTTATAAGCGGGCAACACTTTTGCGCATTGAACCGTAATTTTACTCCCATCTTCAAAAAAGACAGACTATAGGTCCGTAAAACATAAAATCATTTCTAATATGAAGAAAAGTTTACTACTCTGGCTACTCGCATCGGTTTAAGAGTCTATACTGCGTGAAATGGCGTTGGTTGATTCCGCATAGATATGAGCGTAGCGCCGGCGCGCCGCCGCCGCCGACAAATGCAATCAGCGCGCCGTTCAGTTCGATCAGGCGCTCCGATCGTACGTGCGCACACGCTTCCGTATTGTGTATGTGAAAATGGCGACGCCAGAAAATGACTTTTCTAAGATAAAACTTTTTTTTTTTATAAAATGTAAGTTCGCATCTGACCTCCATCTCACCTCATCGAAAGTGACGATGGAATATGCACACCTAAACAATGCCTTCAGGTAACAAGTCTGCAGGCAGGGAATTCCACTCCATAGCCGTTCGCCATATTAATGTGGAAGCGTAACGCTTCGTGCGAATCTTTGGAATATCCACAACATAGAGGTGGAACCCAAGCCTAAGGAAAGCGAAATTAAATCGTGTAATTCCATCGCGCACTCTCCGTGATATATCCTGTAAAATACCGATAAGCTGGCAACTTTACCGCGGTGTTCAAGGCTCTGCAGCTTCGCCTCCACTAATTCCGAGTCACCTATAAGCTTCTTGGCACGGTTGTCAATTGAATCCAAGGTGGCCAGTTGGTATGTAGCAGAACCATCCTAAAGGTGGCAGCAGTATTCCATGCACGACCGGACTTGTGCTTGGTACAGCTGAAGTAACTGTCCCGGTGTGTAGTAACGCCTCACCCTGGAAAGGATCCTAAGCTGCCTTGCTGCATGTTTGGCCATGGATTCAATGTATCTGCCGAAGTACAAATTGGACGACAGGTCCATTCCAAGTAACTGGTGACAGTCGGCTATCGATATGGATATAGCACGAAAAGTCGGAGTCAGCTCAAAGGGACTCCGTTTTGTGGAGAATAGACACGCCTGCGTTTTGGTAGCGTTAAATTTGACAAGATTGGCATCGCCCCAATCGGAGATTGCCTTGAGTGTCAAATCCAAACAGCTAACCATGGACTGTCGACAAAACTGGATTTCCTCTCCACTGACCTTTGCATTGGTCAAGTACCTATCTACAACTGTGTTGTCATCAACATACGCAAAGGTACCTGGAATTAATATATCATTAATATACAGAAGAAAGAGAGTTACAGACAGTACCGAACCCTGAGGAGTCTATCGCCATATGTTCGGAAGAGTAGCCTTCTAAGACCACTCGAATCGAACCTTTGATCAAGAAATCCGAGATCCAATTGCAAAGGTCAGTGGGAAGCCCATAAGAGGGAAGCTTACTTAAAAGGCTTGCGTGTCAGATCCTGTCAAAGGCTTTATGGTTTTATGTCTTATGTCAAAGGTTATTTTAGAAATATCCAAAGACACTGCAAGTGCTTCACCTTACTTTTCTATAGCCTGGCTCTATATGTGACAGGCATACACAAGAAGATCCCCAGTAGATCGTCCTCGTCGGAATTCGTACTAGCGATCACTGAGGAGGTCGTTGTCTTCAAGGTACGACAGGAGACGGTTGTTGAGTATACGTTCCATAGTCTTGCAGAGTATGGAAGTGACTGAGATAGGTCTATAGTTGACACAGTCAGCTCTGCTTCTCTTTTTCGGCACAGGTTGCACGTTTGCAAACTTCCACGACCTGGCAACTGCCCCAGTCTCAAGTGAGAGGCGATACAGGCGTAGGCGTGTGAGAACAGGAGACAACTCAGGCGCACAGTTACATAGGACTAGTGCTGGAACTCCAGCTAGCTTTACGCTTACAGCTTTTAGCACGTTCTAAGTACCTCTTTTGAGCGTCCGCGAATTGAAGTCATAGTGCAGTCAGCTTGAGATAAGATGAGATCCAGACGCGAAGTCTTTGCAAAGAGTGAGGCAAAAAGATTTGTATTGTAGACTTCTGCAGTATACGCCAGCTTGCTGCCCGGCCTCAGCAGAGGCGGCATAGATGGGCGATAAAAGTTAGTTAGTGACTTTATATTTAAAGACGTTTTGTTTAAAAAATTAATTTGTCAATTTCTAGCGTCGCCATTTTCACTACGCGGATCGGAGTGCCTGAACGAAAAATTTGATTACTATAGAAAATTCGTTATTTTAATTTTTCCTTTTGTAAAAGTATTTATACAACGGTTTTTGTAAAAACAAACACCGTTATACAAATTCGTTTTAGGGTCGCGCTCGCGCCGCCGAAACGCCTCCGCCGCCGACACTTTTTAGTCGGCGCGCCGCCGCCGGTTGGTCTATTATCGGCGCTCATATGTAATTCCGCATAACATTGAGTGTCGAATCAATCACTTTAGAAAAAATATATAGTAAAACTAAGGATATACACTGATTACTACAAGGTGTGACAACACGATTTTTAAAAATTTTCACAATAGAAAAAAAACACAAACTTACCTCGAAATTTTACAAGAAAACCGCTGTACTCAATAGATACTTTATATAAACCAATGATATTAAATTTATATACGATATACATTTTACGAATGGCTTTAATCGTTTATAAAAAAATTAATTCTGAAATAAAGCCAGTGACGCTGCTGCTCGACCCAAGCAAAATGAACCGTATTAGTACGGAAAAAAAATTAATTCGAGCTAAGGTAGTATCGACTCTTAAAGAAAATCTATGCTCGGTACCTGTTCAAATACAGCGCAGTCCATGCTGTAGCTGGCTCCGGCGACGACGCCGGCGCCACCCACCAGGCCGCTGGCCAGGTTGTCGACTATGTTGCCGTAAAGGTTGGGCGTCACCATCACGTCGAACTGATTGGGGTTGGACACCATCTGCATCGTGCAGTTGTCGACGATCATCTTCTCGAACTGGATGCGGGGGTACAGTTTTGCCATCTGGATAATCATAGTCATCACCATCAGTCATATATGTAGTATATTCGAGTATAAAATAATACTCTGATTCCCAATACAAAAAAGTCCAATAGCCCACGTTTAGCATAGGGAACCAATTTTTTGTATGATTTTTTTCAAATTTTTGTTTTTGTATGATTACAATAAGTTTAGTTTTTAGTAGAAGTAGAGCTCCTTGTGAAAGAGCTCAACCAGGGAAGTTTTGCCGCCTTACCTACTGCCGCCAAGCAGTAATGTGAGAACTACTGCGTTTCGGTTTGGAAGGGTAAAGGTACCTACTGGTGAAATTACAGGCATATGGGACTTGTCAACTTATGTCTCAGATCTTTGCGATTTAAAGCTCTGAGTGGCATAGCAACTGTTATGGGTAGGCGTGTCGCTTACCAGCAGACAACGGCTTGTTCATCACGTCACTTGGTACCTACTATAAACAAAAGTGTGCATTTGACCTCCATCTCACCAGATGGAAAGTGAGGTGATAATAATATAATAGTACCAATAACGGGTACACACTCATAGTCCCGGATTAGGGAAACCCTGTGGCGCGGGTCCCATAGACACACACATAAACAACCGCAAATTACAAACAAACTCACGAGAGAAATAAACGTAGGCGATATTAATATTTCTCTCTCTCCTCTGCGTGACAGTCCAGCATGAACCGTTCGGCCACGGAGGCAGTTATAAATCGTCGTTGCTAATTTAATATCTCATATGTGTTAAAAGCAATTATCATAGAAACACGAAAAAGCTTCCTCCTGTAAAATTTTCGTATAGAGTATTTTTGTTGAATGTCATTGAAATAAGAAGAGATCCACATGAGAGTTTTCTCAGTTGGTTACTCTGAAGATGCTTTTCAAATATTTACAAAACTTCTTGTCGACCAAAACGACACATAGAGGTTTTAAATTTGCAACGACGAAATAATGCCTATTCACTCTCGCTTCGAAAAGGTCCAATTTATGGCGTTAGTTTTATGCGTCTGCAATCAGGGAATTCCATTCCAATGCCGTACGCCATATAAATATGTAAACGTAATGCTTCGATCGAATCTTGAGTACATCCACATGGAAAACGCAATGCGTTCCCAGCACTCATTTACAGTTAGGACCCTATGTGAGGTCACGGAACAACATACGCAAGCTTACTCACTTAAATATGACAATAAAATAATTATTACTGGAGTAATTTCACATAAAAAAATTTATTGAATATCAATTCAATAAAAATTTAAATACAATGATTAGCGACATCTCTAGCCAGGGCTGGTAGCTGTAAAGGTATCTAACTGGGTAACGAAATACTTAAGATTTCTCATAGATGGCGCTACGGCTAAAAAATCGTTGAAAAAACCAAATACAAAGACACGACAACAAACAAATTCGTGAGGTCCGATGGTTCGTTCCGTAGTTCAATTGGTATAGCGTCTGCCACGGTATGCTAGAAGACGTCGGTTCGAATCCGGCCTGATCGAAGGATTTTTTTCTGAGTTTTCCATCTTTGTATTAAGAATTATAACAAACTAGTGGAGTAATTTCACATAAAAAAATAATTGAATATCAATTCAATAAAAATTTCAATAAAATAATTAATAAAATATTTTCCACTTACCTCTTCACAACTCCTCAAGAAGAGACCGTCACCCAGCTTCATAATGTTGGCCTTGTGCACAGATGTGACCTTTTTGCGGCCCATTCGCACGGCATAGTCGAACGCGAACTTAGCAATACGCTCAGATTTCGCGGCTGTGATGATCTTAAGGCATTCCACAACACCTACGACAAAATATCATACGTTTGTATAACAAGTGAGAAAAATAGGAAAACCAAATTCCATAAATGGCCAAAAAATCCGTGCCAACCTGTATCATTGTATTGTATTTTTAACGGACTTTAAAAAGGGAGAAGTTTCTCAACTCGTCTGTAGTTTTTTGTGTGTATGTTACGCGATTACATTTGTGAACCGATTTCGGTGATTCTTTTTTTTACTGGTGTAATGTGTCGAAGCAACGTGACTTCTTAAGTAGGTCACTGGATTACGTATTGAAGGAAATATTGAGTAAGCATAAGATTCTTTATATTGTAATTGAATTATTAATTCACTTCTATTTGGACCATGAACGAATAAACTACCTAAACTTGTTCCTGTTTCACTATACCTCGCTAACCAGATGGCATTCCGACTACCTCACTGCATAACCAAACTGATATGAGATTGGAAAGGGGGCACCTCGAACAGTGAGAACTGTTCGTTTGGGTTGAACATTTGTTCGGTAAAGCATTCGTTCGATAGAACCTTCGTTCGATCGAACCAAAAAGTCAAGCAATCGATCAACGAGTCAACGGGTCAAAGAGTTAATGGATCAACGATCAATGAGTCTATCAATCATTTATCCTAATTGCTCATTTATCGTAAATCAATCAAATCAATTTATCGTAATTTTGTGAATTTAATCTGTTTTTTGGTATGTTGTGATTAGTTATGAGTGCACTAGCTAATATAAAATATTAATGAATAATAAATTAGCTATTTTGAATGCTCATACGTTTTTTGTTATGTATTTTTCTTTTTTTTTCTTTTTTTTATAATATCAAGTGACGGGACAAACAAGTCGTGCGCCTGACGGTAAGCTACACGCCTGACCATAACAATTGCAGTGTCCTCAGAGCTTTAAATCGCAAAGATCTGAGGGGCACTGCCACTGCGCCCGTCACCCTGACACATAAGTTGACATGTCCCTTGGGCCTGTAATTTCACCAGCACCCTTACCCTTCAAAATCGGAACACAGTAATGCTGACATTACTGCTTGGCGGTAGAAATAGGTAAGGTGGCAGTACTTCTCTGGACGAACTCTTTCACAAGGAGCTACTAACTACTGTTTTGTAGGTGTTACTTTTCCTAGAGAGAAATTTGAGTGTCTTAAATGTGGTTTATCAATGATGCACTTAACTTTATACACAGTACCCATCAGCAGGAAAGATTATAAGCTAATTGTATATACTGACACTTTTAACGCCATATGGAAGTATCGTGAGCGACGAGTGACCCGCTAAGAGTCGAACATGTGCTCAAATCATTTGACCAGATCACATTACGCATGGGTCATGATCGACTGGGGTTATCAAAAATGATCGACCTACACAGGTATATATGGTAATATACGGTTTATTAAGGTACTATACTTAGAACCACAGATAATATAATACTGTAGTAGTACAGATACCCATCTCATACAAAGAAATGTCGCATTCGTAACTCCACTTATTTGGACGCTTATTTTGATTCTTAACGCTCAGCAAGAGATGGTACTAAGTAAACCAGCGATACGATTGTAATAATTCGTTTGTTAATATGGCTTAGTAGCAGTAGAGCTCCTTGTGAAAGAGTTCGTCCAAGGTAGTACGGCTACCTTACCTATTTCTGCTGCCAAGCAGTAATGTCAGCATTACTGTGGTCTGGTTCTGAAGGTAAGGGTGCTGGTGAAATTACAGGCACATGGCACTTGTCAACTTATGTCTCAGGGTGATAGGCGCTTTGCGAATAAAGCTCTGAGTGGCACTGCAACTGTTATGGATAGGCGTGTCGCTTACCATCAGGAGCACGATTTGTTCGTCCCGTCACTTATTTATTATAAAAAAATAAATAATACAAGCGCAATTAAAGTCACAGACACCACCTCCAAAAATATACCCGATATTGTCGGGTATAGTTTATACTATTAATTTTACGCGAGTGGGAAAATTAACTGCATAAAAATAATTTCAACACAAGCGCAGTAACTTTACACGATTTAACCTTCACCGGGTTCGCGGAGTACCAAATTAATTATCTTCCATTTTTATTAACATATACTTCCGCAAATTAGCACCTGAATCTATTAATTACTGCATTGACAATATTGTAAAACTTGCACTTACCAGGTACAGATTCGTGTTCCAACGCAGAGTACTCTCCCTCTGTTTGCTCTCGAATGATAATACAGTCGACGTCGTGATGACGGCACTTCACGTTGGGCAATGATTTCACGTGTACTACGTTGGCGTAAAGGTCTAGAGCGTTGCGTAGTTTCATGTTGAGAGTTTGCAGTTCACCGGTGTGAGAGAAGTCAGGCGTTGCGAGAATACCCTGAAATATTCAACAGAGTATTGAAAACTAAAGCCATCTCAACATTGATGTTCATTGTACGTACCCGTCGAGTACATAACCAGAAATAGAGACGAAATAAGGGCCATCCATCCCTGGCAATTCATCAGGTAAATGGGCCTTATTTCACTTTCAAATATCAACTCTCGTTTGCACTGAAATCACAAATTAGAAAGCTGTAATAGTACAGCGCCAACAACTGCCCCGTGTGTACGTCTCCGTATATTCCAAAAATATTCTGTATTTATTGTAATGAAGATAACATCTCTAACAATGGCGGGCTGTTCCATTCGGTGGTGTGGGAAAAACAGCAAACATCTAATTATAACACAAACGGAATCCAATTTCATCGGTAATTAAACATGTAATTTTGCAATTTTAATCCATTATAGCAAAGCTCAAGTTAAACTGGTCGATTTGAAGTGAAACAATTGAAGACACGCGTCAATTGTTTCGAATTCGGGCTATGCCAATCGGAGCGCAATCCGTAATGATAAGGCAGAATAGTTTTCAAACAAATTAAATGACATTTCGTCTCTATTTCTGGTCATATACTCGATGTACCTACTACTACTGTTGTGTCCCCTTAGTTTAAGCATCGAACAATAACTCAAGAAGACTTCTTATCGCGTAGTCGGGTATTTAGTACCTATTGCTAAACCAGATGTCGCGACGAGTACCAAATAGCTATTTTTGTAACTAATTTGTTTTACATTGACAAGCTGCAATTGGACATTCGAGTAGTTAAACAAAAAGGATCCAATGCACATTCTGTCACTGTCAAGATATGGCAGTTTGAAGTTTAAAAACGTTTCTCACTCTTGCTTTATTTTCAAAACTTATAATGTGATGTAACTTCAGAGATATTTATATTTTTTTTTAATTAACCTATTATGTCCCACTGATAGGCAAAGGTTTCCCCCAAAATCCTCCATTGCTCCCTGTCTTTGGCGATCTCCCACCATTATCTCTCAAACCCATCAAGGTCGTCCCGCCAACGCCTTCTCGGCCGTCTAAGCCGTCTCTTTCCGTTCTCGGGCACCCAAGGAATGACGACGTTCGCCTACTTCACAGGTTGCATCCGGCTAACGTGTCCCGCCCAATCCCACTTGAGCCTGGCTGCTTTGCTCCCCACATCAGCAATGTCAGTCATCGAACGCAGCACTGTATTGCGTACTCGGTCAATACGTTTGAAGCCCAGAATGCTGCGTGCCATCGCCCTATTTTTTTTTATTATATATTTTATGTATGGATTTTTTCGCTGATCTAAGAGGTTAGACTTCAGGAACCGTTTGGTACATATAAATCACTTTTTGATATTTATTTGGATTAGATCCTTTTTGCTTAACTACGTCCAATTTATCAAAGCTACACTAATTTCTGGTGATAACAAACAAATCAACTAGGTGGCGCTTATTGTACAGATTTTTATAAATAGTGCCAGTCGTTTTTTTTAATTTTGTTTAGGATTAGGGCCATCTGCCCGTATAAGGAAGGATTAATTCATAAATTAGTTTTTTTAAATAATGTCAAGTAACGGGACGAACTAGTGGCACCACTTGTTCGTGATAGTAAGCTACACGCCTGTCCATAACAGTTGCAGTGCCACTCAGAGCTTTAAATTGCAAAGATCTGAGGGGCACTGCCACTGCGCCCGTCACCTTGAGACATAAGTTGACAAGAACCACGTTCCTATAATTTCACCAGCACCTTTACACTTAAAAACCGGAACGCAGTAATGATTGGCGGCAGAAATAGGTAAGGTGGCAGTACTTCCCCGGACGAACACTTTCTCAAGGAGCTCTACTGCTACTTACGCAGTACCGTATACATAGCTTGTTAAATGAATTTGTGACTTTGTGAAGACGACGGTCAAGAACAGTTAGTTTACTTTTGTTACTCGTATTAATGTTATGTCTACCACAATATTTCATATATTTTGCTGATTCTATTAAAACCAATAGAAATAATGTTACCTAAATAAGTTTAGTTGATATAGTGTGTCTCAGTAGTGCTTCTTAAGTAATTTTCTAATCGGGCATTATGGGTAGTATTCCAGAACTCTACTCAATACTCAAGTCAGGACTTGAGTATTGCAGTGAGCACTTAAAATCATACTCAAGTCCTTGCCATTAGGGTCGTATTTCCAGTGCTTGGAATCATACTCAAGTCTGCTCAAATCTGGAAATACGACCCTAATGGGGCAGGGACTTGAGTATGATTTCGAGTGCTTTAAACCATACTCAAATCCTGACTTGAGCATTGAGTAGAGTTCTAGAATACGACCCTAAGTGTAATAATGATTCAATATTATAATTATATTTATACCTTAATGCAAACTTTGTTTTTGGCGATGGAGTTGACGACATCCTCAAGCGGTGCGCTCAGCGTCGGGTTCACTTCGGAAAAGAAGAACGTCTCGAAGTCCACAGGGCAGCCCGCCGCCTGAATTTGTTACCAAAATGTTATTTCATTCAAAATAAATAATTCTTACTACAAACTAATAGACCTGCATATATCAGCACCAAATTTTGCATAATGTTATATTTTATATGGGTTATTAACAGCACACTTTACCATCAAGCGTGCTGTAGCGCGGTGACAAGTGCGACCGTTAGTCATAAAACAACGCGTGAATTTCCGAAATCGTCTACACTTGGAAAAAATGGTCCACGAAGAAGTAACAGGAAACCACAAACCATGGTTGCTGTAAGTACATAAATAAAAAGGAAAACTCATTCTAAATTCATTTTCCATATAAGTATGATTGTAGTGAATGCTTACGTTAGCCAAATAATCATACGGCATGCCAACATTTCTCGTTAAACTTTTCATATAACACATTGGCTAAATTATTATTGTTTAACAGTCGGTCAATAGGAAGTAAAGTCTACTTAAGCAAATAAACTTAACAGGCTTTATTATATTATGACTTCATGGCGTACCTTGAAAACTTCCTGTACGGAGTACACGAGCTCAGGGCCGACGCCATCGCCGGGGATGAGCGTGCATTTGATGCGACCCTCCTTGTTTGCATTCGGTTGCTATAGCAGATATAATGTGATTGAAATATAAATAAATATAAAATAACAAAACGCAGTATATATAGTTCGACTTAACTCTTACAAATACCGTGGCTTAAAATTGCCATTGCCGTTTTCATTCATGTCTAGAATGGGTTACTGACTATTGATATTTACTTTATCAAAACAAAATCTAAAGCCGGGTACTCACTGGCGAGCGGCAACCGTCGCATGTTGTTACCAAAAATCATAGTGTGTAGGTACGTGACTCGCAAGCTTGCCGCGAATGGAACGCGTGCTGTTCGCAGTGAGCCGACGATAACCAGGTACTCATTCTAGCGAGTGAAGATTGTTTCACGAGTACATACTAGAACATAGTTTTCCAAAGTGGTTCCTACCGCTCCCCAGAAGTGGGCGCAGAGTCCTGGGGGTCTCGGAAGCAATTGAGGGGCGCTGGTGCTGTCCAGGGAGTGATATCGCATTCGAAAAATAATCCTTGAATTATCTATATCAACTACAGTACATACATATGATGAAATTACAGACACATGGGACTTGTTTGTCTCACGGTGACGGGCGCAGTGGACGTGCCTCTCAAATCTATGCTATTTAAAGTTCTGAGTGGCACTGTAACTGTTAAGGACAGCCGTGTAGTTTACCATTAAGTGCACGATCTTGTTCGTCCTGTTACTCGTATAAAAAAATTTTTTTTTTCTTGTGATGTTTTGTGTTAAGTTAATATAAAAAATACGTGCTTTCAATTATTTTTTGTAATGGTGGGCGATAAAATTTTTTATCTTGCCTAAGTGGGCGGAGAGGAAAAAAGTTTGGGAACCTATGAACTAGAACCTAAGTACCGTATCTGTCACGTTACAGTTACCTCTCGCTAATGAGTACCCGGCTTAAAACAGCGTGTAACTTAATATAGAAAAATAGAATAAAAATAACTTAGGGTCGTATTCCAGAACTCTACTCAACGCTCAAGTCAGGACTTGAGTATGATTTAAAGCACTAGAAATCATACTCAAGTCCTTGCCATTAAGGTCGTATTTCCAGTGCTTGAAATCATACTCAAGTCCTGACTTGAGCATTGAGTAGATTTCTGGAATACGACCCTTAGTGTATTAACTAAACTACCGAATTCAAAAAAAAAAATAATGCGGTCCATACGGTTGAAAATCTTAATCTTCCGCCGTACGGACCACGGATTGGTTCTGGAAATACGTGAGTTATCCGGCAGTTAAAACCTGTGCCTCTAACACGAGTTTATTGTGACAGTTGTCGCTAGCGACCGCGTAGATTAATTCACAATTTTGTATGGCAAGCATCGAGTATATAACCAGAAATAGAGACGAAATCTAATTTGTTTGAAAACTATTATGCCAAATCATTACTGTGACAACTGCACTTCAGGTGTCGTCATTTGTTTCACTTGTATGAGTGGCACTGTAACTATTATGGACAGGCGTGTAGCTTACCATCAGGCGCACGACTTGTTCGTCCCGTCACTTGATGTTATAAAAAAAAATATTTGACGCGGTCCCTCGCTACGCTAGCGATAACTGTTACTGTAATCTCACGGTAGAGGCACAGATACTTGTTAAAACCTGACTTCAGTATTTCGTTTTACTTTACCTGATTTAAAAACAATTGTGTACCTGCAAAATGGTCTTCATATGCCTGTGAATTTCCTATTACCTACTTTATGTAATATAATTTAAAATAAAACGTAAATGGATGCAAGACAAATACAGGTGCTCGGAAACAATCGCAGTGATGTTACAAGTTAGACAATGCAATTGGACAACACAAAGGCATTGACGGACGTTTCACAAACAACAGTTTCAAGAGCTATAATACATCTGAACTTATAGCTATTCTGCCTATTGAGATACTTCAGGTCCATAACATCGAAAATGTCACGGATGCTAAACTCAAAACAATCACCTACTGTTGACAAGTGATATCGCTTTGTATGGGAACATAACCATGTGTCCAGTTTGTGAATCTGATCGATTAGGGCCTACTCATCTAACTCGAAAGTCTGTCTGACATACAGTGTTAAATAAAATAATAATAAATTGCCAGAAAATCACACTAATTACCCGGTTTCAAACTAGGAAATTTCCTGTACAATGGACTAATAGCTCAAGAATACTGGTAATCGTGTTCGTCAGAATGGCTGGACCAAATGAGATATACAAATCAAACTGTGCTCATTATTTACTACCTATTTCCTACTATCTAGTACATTTATTAACATATTTTCTACTTTTGCGTTAACGGAAATATTAAAGAAATAAAGTGGCCAGCCATTCTAACGTCAGGTTGGCTGGACCACTTTACGTTTTTCATGGTTCTAGCAGTACATAATTAACTTTTTTTATATAACTATTTACTACCTAAACATACTTTTTTTTCACTATTTTAGGAAGCTTCTATAAAGTTATTTTAAAAAAATAATAAAACGCATTGCAAAAGGTATCTTCTAGAAAAACAATTTATCTTTTCAGTGTAATTGCTAACAATACGCTTTTGCAGGCGCTTAGAATATGCCAACAATGGTTTCTGGATTATCTTTGCAAGCAATATTTTATAACAATTATTATATTAATTACCAGTTGAATTCACCATTACAAATGTTAACTCCATTTGTAGGTATTAAGGAATGCGAACAAATTATAATCAGTTATTTATAAAGAGATTCGTCTTTTTGATCGTCAATAGATGGCATTGCATGTTACAAACTAATTTAGAAATTAACGCTTCCTAACAGGGATAGATGACGCTAATCTTAAACAAAATAAAAGAATAGCCGGCATTATTCATAAAAATCTGTGCAATAAGTGCAATCTAGTTGGTTTATTTGTTATCACTAGAAATTTGAGTAGCTTTGATAAATTGTCAATGTAAAACCAATTCAAAACAAATCAGTTACAAAAATAGCTATCTGGTACGTGTCGCGACATCTGGTGTACTAGGTACTAAATTCCCGACTACGCTTTCTAGTATCGTGATTCCCATTGTGTTATTGGTCCATGTACTAACCATTATATCCACAGCTAAGCCTGGGGATCTACTCTCGTTCTCTGTCCGAAACAATTACTGCCATAAAAGTAATACACGGCAAAATTAAAACACAATGTCAAGTATGTAACTTCATTCGCATCATGCGTCTTTTAATTTGACAGAGTGTGACTTATTTGACAGTAATTGTTTCGGACAGATGTCGGACGGAGAATGAGTGTACACAGTACAATCATATACTGAACACAGGGCGGACTTTTAAATCTATGCATAGTCACAGAAGCTGCATTCAAAAATGCCAACTACTGTTTTCCAATAGCAATGTTGTTGAATTGCATTTCGTGTGACAACATCCTTAGACTTTTCACCCCCTGGTTAGTACAAAATATAATTCAGGTGACAAATATTATCCAATTATACTCTTGTTTAGCATAAGTATGGTACAGAGCCACATAGGCAAGAGTAAAATGCTTATATCGCAGATAAAAATTAGCCAACGTTCAGATATATTATAACAACACAACAATTATATATACCTTCATGCTACATAATTACAAATATTATATCCATTCTGATAACACATATTCCTTGACATAACAAGTAAACGGAAAAATGGGCACCAAATTTTCATGCAGGTTTTATTATTTGGCCTGTCTATTCTTTAAACACAATGCTTTATTTTTAACTGACTTCGAAAAAGGAGGAGGTTCTCAATTGGACTGTACTTTTTTGTGTGTATGTTACGCCATTACTCAGACATTTGGGAACCAATTTCGATGATTCTTTTTTGGTCCATTCAAATTTGAAGAAAATATTCGATCTCTAAGGGAGCTAAATTAGGAGATGAATCTGAATTTGATTTGACCTAGTTTCTTGGCAACTAGATATGGCGAGAGTGAATAAGCATTATTTAGCATGGTACATCATCGCCCTCATTTTCACTTTCCATCAGGTGAGATGGAGGTTAAATGCGCACATATTTTTTTATAAAAAAAATAGAGTTAATTGCACAACACTTTTGAGGTCAGTTTTTTTTTCATAAAAATTTCTTGTTGATAGAATTAATAAATTTAATTTTTTTTTTCTAGTATTACATGTGATGCTAAATAGAAAGGCCAAGAGAAAAGTGTTTATAAGTGTACATGCTTGGGAAAAAAGTCTTACATTGTAATAAAAATAATCCTGGTAACCGGAAAATCCTGGTATAACTCAACAAAAAATCATAATAAAATAATATTGAAAACTATAATATTCAAATCTAAATAAATTGTGTAATTTTGATAACAATGTTGTAGAGTTGGGAAAATTTGGATGCCAAATTGGAATAAATATGCAAAAAATGTGGAGAAATTACTGAATAAATTAAAATTCAATTTCAATTTTTAACTAGAAAACTTATAATAAACAATCATTATTGTCAAGCAATGAAGTTGTAAAATTTATAGCAGTTTTTGAAGACTATTTTATTGTCTTTATAAGCACAAACTGCACATTTTTGTGCAAAGACGGAAACAAAACACTGTCGTCATCAACATGAATATATCTTTATTTTGAGTTCTTAGGTTTACTCGATTAACTAACAATGAAATGAAATCATTTTTTCAAATTAAAATTGCATATTTCTTATGCATATTTTGTCCGAAAACAATTGTTATACTTTCTAAAACAGTTCTCTTATTTAGTGTAGTCTAATAAATCTAATAAAAATAATAACAGTAATTAGTCTGGGTTCAATAAACAAATAGGTATATTTAAATAAGAATATTTTTTAAATCTTGTTTTAAATAAAGGCCTTTGCATTTTTCGAAACTAACCCAAACTGGCCCAAGTCTAGTGGCCCCATTAAGGAAATAATAATAACATTTGTTGCAGATACCAGCCCATTACACCAAGTACCAAGTACCAAGTAACACTTGAGTGTCAATGTCAATCTTTGTGGATTATTTTACACTATCTGAGATATTGCCTGTAATGAGTGGCAAGACCTTATAAAATATAGACTAATGTTTAGCATGTATACTATTGCATATTTCTTAGCAAAAAATGCTGCCAATTTTCAACAACTTTAAATAATTGCATGTCATCAAGCCCATACAACAATGATCCCATCAAATAAATGTATATTATCTACAAGTTTATAATGTATTACAGACATTTATTCAGAGGAGACATCTATATGTCAGACTGTTAAACAGTTGTCTCCTAATAAATAGAGGGTTTAGGTAGGGAGTCATAGTTCTCCACCTTGGTTTAAATTTAACCACTCTGAGAAGACCCAAATGTTATAAAACTAATTTAACTTTATAGTATGAAACTCTTCAGATATAGTTTCTGGGACCCCTAGTCAACCAGGCTAGCATAAATGCACATGTTGACTTAAAAAAAAAACAGAGACATGCGAGCTAAATGTCACACAGACATTTATATGCTCTCTAATAAGACGGCCAATTAGGTAGGCTTTGGCTAGAGGCGCATTATAGCTTTAAATATACTTCATTGCTTCACAGAGATCTTGAATAGGTGCGTGGAGGAAATTCTACCAATTAGTAGACAGTTAGTAGTCTCACCAGGGAGCTGATCGTATGCGACGCAAAACATACATTTTTGTCGGCGTTTACCGCGTTCGTCGTGTGCAGACCCTTTCCTACGTGCTGGGAACCCTGCAAACATACGGAATAACCTTTATAGTCATCCTCCCATAGTCACGTGATATTTCATAAAAAGATAACTTATTCCTGCCTAATTCACAGTATTAATGGCAGTGTGTATAACTGGAAAATGCAGAGATATGTGAAAACGTGAATTTAGTTATAACTTTTCGTACAAGAGGCTGCAAATTTATTGAGATGTAGTTACGAAACAAAAATCTACCAAAACACGAAATTTATTACAACAAATAGATACAATACCTGCACTAAGGTGCGAAAAACGTTTCTAGCGATAAGGGACATGGTATTAAACTGTGAAAACTTTAGTAAAACACTATTTTTTAATTTTTTTTAAATAATTATTTTCGGATCTCGAAGACGTAACTTCGAGCAACGTTCCTTTTCAGGAAAAGTGACAGCTCCAGAACATCCAAACCCGACCGAGTTTTATTATTTTCATTCGTAGAAGGTTCATTTATCACAAAAAATATTTGTATATATATTTATTAGACATTAAGTTCTTTTGTTTAAAAATAAATATTAAAATTTAAATACAAATCCCCACGAAATTGATTTAGTTGAAGAATGAAAAGTGTTCACTGCATGGAATGTAACAAAAAACCACAGTTTCATTTCACAAAAACAAACTTTGCGCTCAGTATTTATTAAATACTGAGCGCGCAGTTTAGTATTAAAATTAATCATCAAAATAATATGACATTACATCAGCTATAAAATAATATATACTTTATTGTATTATTATGTTTATATAATATTTATTGGCAGAATCTTGAAATTTAGTGCAACTGAACAGAAAATACATGATTTCGTAAATTGAAATTTTATGGAATACATTTCAAGGTACTCTTTGGACACTAGCGCCAGTTGCTAGTCGCCAGTGCCAAAAAGTCTCCGTCCATCGATTTTAGATGTCATTGTGACTTCCGTTCTCAAACCGATGCTATGTCAGGGCGCAACATTTGAACTCGTAATATATTTATATTGCAAAATAATGTGTAGTGTATTAATGAAAGAAAAATGAGTCACACGTAGAAGATTGAAAATTATACATGTTTACTTTACGCCCTTTTTATCGAAATTTCGAAACAAAACGTGTAAAATAAAGGTAAGACATTATCTTTTTATTTTTAATATTTAATTCAGCGATTAACCGATTTAATTACAATTTTTACAATAACATAAATATTATTTGAACCTCTTTTGCATTTTATGCCGTAATAAATAGAAAGAAAGCTCAACATTCTCATTTCAAATACTTTAATGTTGGAATTATTGATCTATGAAAATCAAGTGATCCTTAATTTTATAACATGTGGGAAATACGTCGTTTTACTGGAGATAAGATGTCGTAAGGTCAAGGAATACCGATAACGTCGAAAAAGTTTTACTTAATTTTATCTTATTGTGCTCTTAGTAATAAGCACTGCTGCCCTTACGTAATTTTTTTTTTTTGCGCCAAGACCTTTTTAAAAGGTAAATTCACGATAAGTGTTCTCCCTGAGTGAAATATTTGTAAAAATATCGCCCCAACATTCATGATATCAAAATATGATTTTTGCGGCTGAATAGAGTGTATGAGGTTCTTTCCAATAGGTGTTAAGCTAACTGAAACTGTTCTGTGTCCTAAATTCTGTTACTGACAAGTAAATGTTTCTTAGCAAATGCTTAACTTCGAATTTATGTAACCTAAGTTGTTTATATTACAAGTCTAGAATAACTACCTAGTAATATTCCTTCAAATCGATAGTACAGCTAATCCAAAGGTTGTATCATAATTTACGCTTCTTGCCCGAGGTCCACCTTCCTGGCTCACCTGGATGGACCACGGGAAAATATTTATTCCCGTGGCTCACCTGGGGATTTTTCTTTTCTCGTGAGTCACCTTGTTATTAAAACTCCTATAACATTTCAATTGCAAAGATATCCATATAAGACTACCATTATAATTGAATTTCTTAATGTATGGCAATAGTTGCCTGAAGGACTAAAATACGGATAAATTCAAATTTAAAAGTATAAAATGAATAGTGAAGAAAGGGTGTCAATGTTTTATTGTTCAAGGTATAATCACTGATATAAAATTAAAGCATTTAAAAGTGAATTCGCGCTATAACAGATTTTGACAGAAAAGAAATTTTTTCTTATGTTAGGATTGTACAACAAAATGTGTACTTTCAAACTAACTTTTCTGGGCCTAAGGTCGTGAAATAAAGAAAATGAGATATGACCTTACTGTCTGTCTGTAACTGTCTCCGCATTCTTAGCATTTCAGTAAACGAAAACAAACTTCCATAAATCGATCTGTTATCGTCGTAATTAACTATTTTGCGAGTTAATACCTAATCTAATAATGACTCGTTTACGTAAGTGATCTGAAAAACATCAAGTTACGTAGTATAGTAGCGATAGTAATGTTGATAGACGTGAATGATGAAAATTCCGGTGTCTCGTATTTTTTATTTTGAACACACATATCGCTTTTGATTTCGGTTGTAGGTTAACACCAATACGCATGCACTTAGATCGCGTTGCGAATTATAGTTTCTTTTATTCCAAGTGATGATGGTGGCAAGCGACACGCATGTCCATAACAGTTGATCCTTTAGTGGCAGTAGTGCTCCATGTGAAAGAGCTCGTCCAGGGAAGTACTGCCACCTTACCTATTTCTGCCGCCAAGCAGTAATGTCAGCATTACTGTTTTCCGGATTTGAAGGGTAACGGTGTTGGTGAAATTACTCAACTTACGTATCAGGGTGACGGGCGCAGTGACAACGCCCCTCAGATCTTTGTGATTTAAAGCTCTGAGTGGCACTGCAATTGTTGACAGGCGTGTAGCTTACTATCAGGTGCACGATTTGTTCGTCGCGTCACCTATATTATAGAAAAAAAGTTGCAAAAAAAGTTGAGGGGCACTGCCACTGCGCCCATCACCCTGAGACATAAATTGATAAGTCCCATATCCCTGTAATTTCACCAGCACCCTTACCTTTCGCAACCGGACCGCAACAATGCTCACATTACTGCTTCGTGGCAGACATAGGTAAGGTGGCATGACGTACTTCCTTGAACGAACTCTTTCTCAAGGAGCACTGTTTCTAATAAAGTAGCATATAGATTATGGATTAAGTAAATACTGCATCTTTGTCTACTTATTGTATGTCTTACGACCGAGAAAGACACGACAGATCTCCTTAGAAAAGTATGGATGATTAACCGTGTGGTGGCCCAATGTGGGTTCTAGACTTGTTTAAGTTAAACTCTTTTCGACACCGACACAATTGTATCTTCGCGATATTTTCCCTCGTATTTAGAACTACTTGGACAACTTATACTTGCAAAGGTCATTGTAATTTTACGAAAACAATTGTAATAAGGGCAGCGACAGTTTTGCGCACTTTTAATTTAAATTGAACTCTAAATTATGTGAGAAAGTTCAATATATTCAAATGAAATAAATTACATGGAAAACGATTTAAATTTTCATTAATTTAAGATATTGTTGATAACATATCTTGATTAATTAATCAAATTACCATTTTATTTAAAACGGTTTGCATTAGGGGTGTGGGCGCTGGATGAAGAGGTCCCGGGTTCGATTGTCGGTGAAGCCAATTTGGTAAAGAAACAATCTCTTGGGACTGGGTGTTCTGGAAAGTGCCCCAAAGCTAACTTCGTTGCTCGTAGTACCTACCGGAATTCCTAGTTTGGTGCCGGGTAATTGGTGTGGTTGACTGGCACATATAAAAATATATATTCTCGATAAAATCATTATTATCATCAACTTGTATGCGTCCCACTACAGGACAATGATCTCTTTTATAGAGAGTGTTTATTCATTTATTCAGAAACTGTGTAACGTTGTTACGTGGTACAATGGCGTTACAGTGATTCAAAAAATTATTAACCTAAACTAAAATTAACTACAAACTACAAATCCACCCAGTCTGTCTGTCTAACACTCTCTTCCAATCGGTCAAAGGTTTCGCTGTCCCTTTTTTCCTTCGCCTTTAACCACAGTTCACCGCTGCGTGCGTTTAGAAAACTTCCTAAGTCTTCCAAGTGCTTTGTGAACTTCCTCTAAAGGCGTGTCATAAAGTAAATTTAGTGTAATCTGAAAAAAAAATTGGTGAAATTAAAGGCACAAGGCTTGTCAACTTATGTCTCAAGGTGACGGGCGAAGTGGCAAAGTCCTTCAGATTTTTGCGATTTAAAGCTCCGAGTGGCACTGCAACTGTTATGGACATGCGTGTAGCTTACCATCAGGCGCACAACTTGTTCGTCCCGTCTCTTGATATTATAAGAAAAAACTAAATCCCTCTGAAGAAAAAAACCAGTGCCTTAGGAAACATTGGCATAAGTCAGCGTCCTATCCTACCTTTACTTTTGTGTATTTTTGTATGTCATAATATGACACACAAAAGTACTCATACTTTTGTGGAAATTGCACATATTTTGTGTGTCATACTAGTATGACACACAAAAATACACGAAAGTAAAAAAAAAGTGTTTATATATCTATCTATTACGCAACTATACCTACTGCGGATAATTCGAAAATGACTCGGTGGCGCAAGTGCTCCGATGGAGATCGAATTCAAGACCTCGAACCGCGACAAGCATACTCCCAACTCTCACGTAGGTTCTCAGAAAAGTCATGTCTCGATAACTAATTATATGTATATTATTCTAATTACTTCCTTAACTATGTGTACTCAATTTATAATGGAAACATAAACAATAGATTAGATAAACAATTCTAAACATTGCTTGGCTGTTATCTTTACAGGAGATACACTTTCAAGGGTGGTTCATGTTAATTGACCACAGTATATTAATAAATCGTTTTTAAAAGAATACGTTTTGATCGATAGGTGTCATTATTTTACATTACAAATTACAGGCATTTGGGTGGGACTTGTCAACTTATGTCTCAGGATGACAGACGCAGTGGCAGTGCCCCTCAGATCTTTGCAATTTAAAGCTCTGAGTGGCCCTGCAACTGTTATGGACAGGCGTGTCGCTTACCACCAGACACACGACTTGTTCGTCCCGTCACTAGGTAACATAAGAAGTTAAAATTCAAAATATAAATTTGAATGCAGTATTTTCATTATAATGCATGTACACTGGGCGTTTACACGATTATGGAAGTAATATTGTCTGGCTTTGAATCACTTCACAAAATGTGTACGTACATTTTGATGTGCACGTGGCTTTAGGAGGATATAACTCTCTTATTTAGGTGTAACCGTTTATATGTATACAATTCTTTATTGTACCAAATAAATACAACAGAAATATTAGATTAACAGAAAGTGAGCAAAAGGTGCACTTATCTCTAAAAGAAATCTCTTCCAACCAACCCAGGGCAGTGAGGGCTAAGGTTATAAGCGGGCTATAGCGTGCAAGAGAGAATGAAAAAGAAATGTAATAAACTACATAAATAAAAAATAAATATAAAATACCATTTACTTACATAAGTATTATAATGAATACCTAAATAAGGATGTAAAAAACAATAAGATGATTACAAAGAGAGTTCAGCAAGAAAGTGCGTTTTCAATCTTTTCTTGAAAGAAGCGATAGACGTACTAGATTGGATATGGGAAGGGAGTCTGTTCTACAACTGCGCTGCACGAGAACAAAAGGAGTTAAAAAAGAAATTTGTTCTACATTTAGGACGAACGAACATCAGTTTAATACCTATTATATTTTATTTGCAGCACAAAAATGTCACTTATAGACCTAACCAAACCTCGTTGGGACCAGAACACGTACTGGGGACGAGCTACGCACTTTTTCCACCTGACCAATCCGCTTAATGTCCTGGCCAGCGACAAACAGCTCGACGAGGCCAAGAAGATCGTCACTGAGTTCAGGTAAGAATGTATTTTACTACAATATTTTACCAGGACGTTGCCGTGGGACATGTGCACCACCAGTGGATGTATCGGATTGAACATACGCACTTCCTCTAACTCGATTATTCCCAAAGTTGTCTATTTTGACCAACAGGGGTAATTTTCACCTTACAAGGGGTCCATGTCAATGCATGAGACGTTAATGGCAGGTCGTGGCCAAAATTTTGGTCCATAAATAGAATAATCCACATTGTATAGATTATTTTATAATAGACGTAAATTACCTATGAAGTTCTTTAAAACAATTTGGCAACTATCACGATACTCGTTTAGATAAACGTATAAAACTTAACATATTTTTTTATTTTCATTTATAAAGTTTCTCACTAGTATACTGTACTAGCTGTCAGACACGCATTTGTAGTTGATAAATTTGCCAAGAATTAAGTATTTGAAAAGGGGTCTACGCAAAACAGATAAAAATTACGCGTGGTCCACCAGACAAAAAGTTTAGAAACCTCTGCTCTAACTTATCCACGCGCAGCTCAATTAAACCAAGAAGATCGTCACAACACTGTCAAAGTCAAATAATCATTTACGCCATTTTTTAAGCTACTGCTCGTTCACCACGCTGACCTCCCTGAGAACAACGAGCAAGACACTCTAGGGATTGCTCTTTTCAAATAAACTTAAATGCTATGGAAAATACTTTGAATCAAATTTGTGTGGAATCTAGAGCCATGTCATCTTTCCATACATCTTTATCTAACACATAGTCTTCATTTTTGTAATATGGCTTTTCAATTAAAATACTTTTAATGTAAGTTTTAAACTTAGGAAACGATTAATCTTAATATATTCTCCGGAACCTTATTGTAAAAAAGTGTACAGTTGCCCGTAAAATAATCGTTTACCTTAGTTAAACGAAATCGTGGTACCATGACATCTTCTTTCTTAATGAAATTATTTAACTGAATTCAAGTAACGTATAAATAAAGGTTGGCAAATTAGACATCGACTCTCGCCATCTATCTTAAAATTTAGGCTTTATGTCGCCTAATAAGGATCTTCAATTTTGTTAGTTATTCAACTCGGTCCATGGCCATCCCGAGGGACTGACTTTTCGATGAAGGCTGCTAACCACAGGCATAGTCTGTGCTGCTAACAGATTGATGTTTGCAATTAATGCGTGAAGTCGTAATCAACTGCGTGAAATCGAGATCGACTGCACGTAGTTAATCTGTTCGCAGCCTAGCGCCCAGTTACAGGACGCGACAGTTTTCGCGGAGCTATTGCGCAGTGACTGCCCAATTACCACGCTTTCACGTACATTACTGGCGAATCTGAATTCTATTTACGAGGTAGCAACGTTTAAATTCCTCAGAACAAGACAACCGCGCGATCGTGCACGCGTTGTCCAAAGACAAGCCAGTCTCGCCCGGGGCCGGAGGCGCTCATTTAAGTTAAAACCTAAAAGCTAAATCAATAGAGCGTATTTTGCCATAACAGCTAGATGCACGCGGTCGCTGCGCGCCGGCCACTTGGTATCTGCGCGGCGAGCATGCGGTACCCGCGCGGCGTTAGCGCGATGAAATTCGTGTCAAATAAACGCTCCCTAAGGGGCTCATGTCCAATTGCCGTCTTCCTGTGTTATCACGTGATCTGCCCTTTTTCACCTTAGCTCAGTTACTACTAAGTACTACTACTAAGTTACTCAACTTTTTGACTACGGTTGAGTCGATTTCTATGCTGAGAAATATATGTCCAAACATAGGATCGTCATTCGTTCCAATCTGGTCCAATCAAAACTGGTCAGATTTGGCCTTAACATTCGATATAGAGAAACAAATAACAAAGGTTTGAGTCAAGTTATATATAATGCTTAATAATGTACTCTGTCTACCTGCTGCGCAGTTTTTAACATTTTTGTGGTTATGTACTGAATAATTATTAATTAACAGACCGTGAAACTACTTCGGAAAATCAGGAGAATAATATAAAAGTCACACTGTGGTAATCAACATCTAAATGCTGATAATATATAACATTATCTAAATGAGTAAGCTTCTATTGTATCTACATTACACACCTGTGATTGTTTTGGACATTGTCAGAAACAATTGGCTCAGATATTATTTTCAAAACACCGTGCCAAGTTTTAACACCAAACTATGGAAACAACATAACAAAATTCACGGATGTTCATCAGTGCGACTGACGAATGCTGAAAACATTAGGTTTACTGATATTTATTTCTTCTTCTTCTTCTTTTTCTTCTTCTTGGTGTGCAATCTTCTACCGAAAGTCGGCTATCGTTTTAGCCACTTGTGCCCGTGAAGTTACAGTTCGGAAAAGTTCTGTGGAACTCATTGAAACTATTCGTTCTTGAGGCAGACTCTCCTGAAAAGAATGAGTAAGAAACTCTAGTATTTGTATATATTTATCATTTACAATATTTATTTCAAATATTATAAATCAAGACATGCTGTAAAAGCTGAACGGGTCATTGTCATAAGTTTTTATTCTTTTTATATTCTTGTTTTTCTTGGTACGTGTTATGTATGTAGGTATGTGTGGCTGCACCCACCACCAGTTCATATTATAATAAATCAGTGCAAAGCTAACCAGCGATCGTTTCACTCGTCAACGCAGCTCCGTTCCGTATATTTAACAGTGGCGACGAACTACCCGCAACAAAAAAAAAATATTGTGCAAAATGGCGAATATTAGTGCTCAGTTCGGGATTTTAAATAGTTTCGATCACAATACACACACATGGAAAACGTATAAAGGTCGTATTGGGCAATATTTCGTAGCAAATAATTTTAATGAATCGACGGATCCTGAGGGCAAGAGAAGAAAGGCGATCCTGCAAAGCGCACTCACAGAGGGTACCTACAAGCTAGCAACGGACCTGACTTTACCCAAGGAAATCGACGACGTGCCCTACGAAGATTTATTAAATCTTTTAGACACTCACTTCACACCAAAGAGTGTCGGGTTTGGTGAGCGTCACAACTTTTACGCGGCCGCTCAACAAGTGGGTGAAACCCATTCTCAGTGGGCAGCGAGATTACGAGGTCTGACTGCAAAGTGTGGCTTCCTCAATGTCGAAGAGGCGCTGCGCGACAAGTTCATAATGGGCTTGCTACCGGGACGAGAAAAAGAAGAGCTGTACGCAAAGGATTTAGCCGGTCTCACGCTAGCCAAGGTCGTGGAGACCGCGGAGAACCATGTCAGGGCACGGAGCGCCGCGGCCGCAAGCTCCGCCGCCGGCGGCGCCGGCCTAGCGAGCGCGTCCCATGATCAGTTATTCAAGATCTCAAACAACGGGAACCGTGGAAGTGTAGGCAAAGTAAAGTGTAGTGTTTGTGGGTTTACGAATCATAAGTCCTCGGAGTGTAAATTTGCAAATTACGTTTGCAAAAAGTGTCACGTGAAAGGCCATTTGCGTAAAATGTGTTCTAAAGTGAATTACGTAAAGGTGGATTGCGGTGGCCAGGGTGAGGATGACGAAAGCGATGACGGTGAGCTTTATTACATTCGTTCATTTAGGGGTGCACCCATGGTAGAAACAGTTCTAATTAAAAATAGACCGTTTCAATTTGAAATAGACAGTGCAGTGGGTCAACAGTAACTGTAGTGTCGGAGGTCTTGTATAAAACTCATTTTAAAGATGTGCCGTTATCCAATACTATGAAACAGCTGATGACGTACAATGGAAAGAAAATTGAATGTGTAGGTATATTTCGTTTGCCGATAAGTTATGCGGGACAAACTCACGTTATTGTCTTTTATGTAATACGTGACGGAGGCCCGCCTCTTCTGGGTAGGGATTTTATATCAGCGTTTAATTTGCAATTGGTACCGGTGAATTTTTGTGTGGATTCTGTACCACCTGTTGAATTGTTGCAACAACAATATTCAGAGCTGTTTTCGGACAAATTAGGCACTTTTAACAAGTACAAAATTAAGTTGTTGTTGAAAGATAATGCTAAACCGGTTTTCTGCAAGGCACGTCCCGTCGCATTCGCTTTGCGCGATAAGGTCAATCACGAAATTGACAGGTTGGTCCGGTTAGGTATTATTGAGCCTGTCGAGCACTCAGAATACGCATCTCCGATAGTTCCAGTTCTTAAAAAGAATGGGTCAGTCAGATTGTGTGCCGATTACTCTAGAACTATAAACAAACAGCTGCAGGTGGAAAAATATCCACTTCCCACAACTAGTGAACTGTTTTCTAAAATACATGGGGGTCAACACTTTAGTAAATTAGATTTATCTATGGCATATAACCAGTTTGTTTTAGATAACGAGTCAAAAAATCTTACTTGCATAAATACAAACCGTGGGTTATATACTTTCTCTCGATTAGTATTTGGGTTAGCCAGCGCACCCTCCATTTTTCAACGCGCAATCGAAGGGGTGCTTTCAGGTCTAGATGGCGTATTATGTCTATTAGATGACATTTTGGTCACTGGTAAGGACTGGAAGGAGCATCTTGAAAGGCTGAATGCTGTGCTGAAGCGGCTGCAGGACGCAGGCCTTACATTACAAAAAGAAAAATGTAGATTTTTTCAGGATAAAGTTCATTATCTTGGCTATATCATTACGAAAGACGGGTTGAAGAAAGCACCGGAAAAAATTAAGGCCATGGTTGAAGCACCAGTTCCGAAAAATGTTAGTGAGTTGCAGTCATTCCTAGGGCTCATAAACTATTATAGGAATTTTGTACGAAATGCATCCGCAATCCTCAGTCCTTTATATGAATTATTGAAAAAGGGTTGTAAATGGGACTGGAATGAAGTTCATGATACGGCATTTCGAGAAATTAAAAAAGTTATGACATCGGAACAGGTTCTTACACATTTCGATTCAAGTGCGACGATCATTTTAACCGTCGACGCTTCTCCTAAGGGGTTGGGAGCTATTCTTTCTCAAATAGGTAAAGACGGTGTAGAACGACCCTTATCTTTCATGTCGCGTACGTTAAATGCGGCGGAAAGGCGATATGCTCAAATACAGAAAGAGGCAACTGCAATAATTTATGGCGTGCGACGATTCCATCAATATTTGTATGGCAGAAGCGAACCTTTCATATTACGAACGGACCACAAGCCACTTCTGTCCATTTCTGTCGGGCCACATAAGGGCATTCCAGAGATGTCTGCAAATAGATTACAACGGTACGCTTTGTTTCTGAGTAGCTATAACTACAAAATAGAATACGTTCGCAGCGCTGATAACAGTGCGGACTACCTGTCGCGCGCGAGCCTGCCGAGAGAAGTGCACGAGTGCGCGTGCACCGAACAATGCAAGTGCTGCGATTGCGAGGTAGCATATGACCGGGCGACCTATGTCTGTTTCGTAGTAGACGGCAGCATGCCCGTCACTTTACACAGATTACGCGAAGAAACAAAATCGGACATAGTCTTACGTCTAGTCATTAACTGCATTATGAAAGGCTGGCCGCCTAAAGTTGATGATATTCGGTTAAAACCGTATCATTTGTGTAGATCACAACTGTCTTATGAGAATGGATGCGTAATGAGAGGTCATAAGGTCGTCATCCCCGCGAGTTTACACCAGACAATGTTAAAAGAATTACATTCGTCGCATTTAGGTATAGTTAAAACAAAGGGCGAGGCTCGTTCTAGATTTTGGTTTCCAGGAATTGACCAAGCGGTGGAAACCATGATAGGTACGTGTGATGTGTGCATTCAGTTGCGCCCCTCGCCGCCCCGCGCCCCGCTGACTCCGTGGGAGTACCCAGCTCGATCATTTGATAGAATTCACATATATTTCCTTGGTCCAATTAAAGGTTGTGTATACTTAGTAGCAGTAGACGCACATACTAAGTGGGTAGAGGTATACAATATGAAAACGTCCACGTCATCAGCGGCAGTGATTTTAAAATTATGTGAATTTATGTCTAGATTCGGTGTTCCTAAAACGATTGTTAGTGATAACGGCACAGCTTTTTGTTCGCGGGAATTTGAGTTGTTTTGTTCAACAAACGGGATTTCGCATATGACGTCACCGGTCTACCACCCGTCGAGCAACGGCCAGGCCGAAAGTTTTGTAAAAATTGTGAAAAGGGGAATAAAGTCGTGTCTTTTGTTGGATCTCAACGCGGGGGATACGTGGACAAAATTACTGAAATACCTAATGGATTACCGTAACTCTGTTAACACTACCACGGGGCTGTCTCCGGCTCAACTGGTATTCGGTCACAAGTTAAGATCTAGATTAGATTTGATTGATCCAAACTCATCGGCACCCTCGCCACCGCCGTCGCCTGATATAATAAATAACCAACAGTGTACACGAAATAAGGAAGGGAAAACCAGAGTTAAAAAATTAAAGAAAAACGACATTGTACTGTACAAAAAATTTATTAATAAAACAAAGTATACATGGTGTAAAGGAATCGTACAGAAAAAATTAGGAAATGTTCTATATTTAGTGAAAGATATCGATAGTTCGGAAATGTATAAAAGACACATAAATCAATTAATGTTGTACAAAGGGACTAGTAACAATTATTGGGACTCGGTACATAGTTCAAATGTAAACTTACCTGTTGCGTCACCGCCGCCGCCGCTGCCGCCGCCACAGTCGCCTCCGCCGCCGCCGCCGCCGTCTTCGCCGCTGTCGTCTCTGACACCGCTGTCCTCGTCGGAACCATTATCGCTGTCTCCCGAATCACCGGAACCCCAGGTTGAACTCCCATCACCGAATATTGCTTCACAGTCAGCCAGTGGAAGGAGAGCCGAACTGTATGTGCCGAGCGATTCTCCATGGTCGGGAGAGGACGAATATGCGAGCGGAACTCTACAGAGGGACGATGAGATGCTAGCTGATTCCGTCTGCGCTACTGCGAGACAATCGAATTCCGACGATGAGTTCTACGAAGCGGAAGCCGAAGTCGATACCCGGGACAAGCCACAGGGTCCCGGAGTTGTACCAAAAAGATTGTTACGCCCACGTCCCATTGTGTCTTATAAAAAGTACTTTTAATATTTGTATTAATTTAGGTTATTATAATAGAGGGAGGAATGTTATGTATGTAGGTATGTGTGGCTGCGCCCACCACCAGTTCATATTATAATAAATCAGTGCAAAGCTAACCAGCGATCGTTTCACTTGTCAACGCAGCTCCGTTCCGTATATTTAACAGTACGCCTTCTCCTAGCGGACGTCTACTATCATTATAACCACAGACATATATCTAGATATATAACCGTGAAGTTGCAGCTCGGAACATTTCTGTGGTACTGATATTGAGCCACTCTGGAAGGTTTTGGAAATATGTGATTTTTTCAGATTAAGCTGCAATAGGGAATATTTTTCGCTCTTCATGGTCTGGAAACTGTTACTAGGACCTTTGCAAGGCGACATTGAATAGGCATTATGTACATTATTTAAAAAAAAAAAGGTGTGCATGCTTCATTGTCAATTCCATCTGGTAAAAAGGAGATCAAATGCGCAATTTATAAAAAAGAAATGGTTTTCAGAAAGTCCAAGCGCGTATGCATCCTCTGCAATACGTTGTCATATGTGATTCTATCCGTCCCCAATACTTCCAACATTCTTCGATAAATCCACATTTTTAAAACGTTTGGGTTAGTATCACTCTTAATAGATGAAAACTTCTTAAATATGTTATTTGTAGGAAAACCCAAAAAATGCCATCTGGTTACGACGAAGAGAAATTGTGGGCTGCAAAGTACTTATATGACAGCGCATTCCACCCCGATACTGGTGAGAAGATGATCCTGATCGGACGCATGGCTGCGCAGGCGCCCATGAACACCCTGATCACTGGCGGTAAGGTTTTTCGCTGTAACTACCTGATTGAATTTATATTTATATATATAACGTTTTTTGTCGCATCCGAACGCGCGATCTGAATGGACTAAGACACGCGTGCAGTTTTATTCCACTCTGATCATACAATACAAACATACAAATCTAATTTGCCTGTAAAATTTTCGCAAAATGATAGTCTATCATTCTTCATTATTCATTATGAAAATTTGAAAAATGTTAACTTTTTGAGTGAACAAAATATGGATTAGGTAATTCAAAAACTATGAAACACCAGCTGACTTTCTTATCTGAACGACATAACCTATGATTTTACCACTAATTTGACACAGTTTTAACGCAATATACACTTTTTCTATTTAAAATAGATAAATAATGTGAGTTCAAAAAATGCATGTCCGCGCTACAAGCAAAACTGCGCTTCACGTGACAAATTCGTCGATTGTTACCATCTGGCTCGCTCAATTTGTACAAGTATTTAACAAAGGAAAAGGAAACTTATCGTTCTACCTTAACGTTCCTTTCAAAAGCGTAAAATCTTTTCATTTAAATCTGTATTAGCTTTCAAACATTTTGTCACCAAATTAGATGTATCACGAAATTAGACGAGTTTACTATACGTACCTCAATGTATAGGGTAATGTATCTCAGTCCACTATTGCTCTTAACATCGTAACTTGCCGAGCACTATGTGTCTATACTGGTGTGATGTTAGGTGAGTGGCCATTTAAGGTCAAGACGACCAAAACTTACGTGTACTTATGTCCTCATTTGTATTGCTTAATTCAGTGGAATAAGTCAATGTTGTGCCTCCCTCACGGCTTTTCTATAGGTCAATTCTGGTCAATGTAGGGCCTCTCACACATCATACCCCCGTTTGATATTATCCTATTTATAATAGGGATGATCACATTTTACCGAACGACAGCAGCGACGGTTTTCTGGCAATGGCTGAATCAGACGTTCAACGCCATCGTCAATTATACCAACAGAGGCGGGGACACGCCTATACCTGTCAGGTATTTCTTTAGTCATTCAATACTCGTAAGCGGGTAATCAAAAAAAAAAGAAAAAGGTAATCAATCTGATAAGGAAGTGGCAACTGCAGGCGCCGGCGCCTATCGACGACAATGACGAATGGAGCGAGCAATGCTCGGCATTTCTTTACGTGATCGAATCTGAAATGAGAAGATCCGTAGAAGAAGGAAAATCACCAACATAGCTCAAAGTATTAGCAAGTTGAAGTGGCAGTGGGCAGGGCACATAGCTCATAGAACTGACGGCCGTTGGGGCAGAAAGGTTCTCGAAAGGAGACCAAGAACCGGAATGGTGAAAACCAGATGCATGTCACGCCCGACCGACGAGTCTAGCAATCTTTGGGGGAGGCCTGTGTTCAGCAGTAGACGTCTTCCGGTTGATATGATGATGATATAATCAATAGGTGTACACTACATATACTGAAATTATAGCTAAAATTCTTTGGTTATTTGATATCCATAGGCATTTTGTTTTTTAAGAGCAAGCAAGAGCAAGGCTCAATTCCTGAGCTTACTTAACTAAGATGTTATATCGACCCAATATCATACTGATGGATACATAATAATGTATGTGACCCTGAAGATAGCACAAAATCCTTTGAGAAATATTGAATATAATGAATTTCTGTGTACAGTCAAATGGTCGCGTCATATTGCTGTGCCTGCGGAGGCGCATTGGGTACCGCGCTCTACCTCAATTCCAAAGTAAAGGTAAGTAGTTGTAGAGCCCTTTGTGAAAGAGTTCATCCGGGGCAGTAAGTACTACCTCCATACCTACTTCCACTTTTGCTATGCTATGCGTCTTGAAGCCTATGCGCGCTAACAATTTGAGCCGTGCTTAATACATAGAGCGCACTATAAATTTCCGGAACTGGCCACTTACATAAACAATATTTAAAAAGTAATTAGGTACATTTGACAATGGAACTCTTTGGCTGTAGAATACAGTTTCACTCAGTCTCTTTTCAGTCACTTGTTTTTACATTGTCACGTCATTTTAGAATTTGGTTGTGTATATTATCACAATGGATTTAACTCGTGAAAATTTTCGTGGTATGGTTTTCTACGACTTTAAGTGCAATTTAACAGCTCAGCGGAGCTTCGCTCGGCTTCAAACTGCTTTTGGAGATGAAGCACCATGCAAGACGACGATATTTATAGCTGGTTTGCAGAATTCAAACGCGGTCGTGTGAATCTCAGTAACGAATTTCATGATGGTCGCCCGTCCACTGCTGTGAGCAATAAAAACATCGATGCTGTGCACCGTATGATCAAAACAGACAGGCATGTGACATACCATGAGATTCGGGCATCTTTAGGCATAGGCATGAGTCAAATACGATCAAAACCACACAAACATTTGGGTGTGAAAAAGCTGTGCTCCCTGTAGATCCCACACAATTTGACTGAGGCTCAAAAAACGGATCGCGTCACTTGGTGCAATGCCATGCTTACCAGATTCAATGAAGGGGCGTCAAATTTGGTGTGGGACATAACAGGTGGTGAAACATGGATTTATAGTAACGGTCCCAAAACAAAGCAGCAATCGAGCGTATGGGTCTCTCGAGATTAGCCGAAACCAACCAAAGTGGCGCGCGTGCAAAGCGTGCAAAGCCTCTAAGCGGATGGCAATCATCCGCTTAGAGGCTTTGCACGCTTTTACACTTCTTTACTTTTGCACTTCTTTTTTAACAATATTATCTTAATAAAACTGGACACGTTGCTACTGTTGCTTTGGAAAATCGTTGTACCGTGAATAATGATTTGTACACCACCATTTGTTACCAGGAAGCTATTGACAAACTCCGTAAAAATAACCGTAAACGCCGTATCATCTTGCACCAAAATAATGCCAGTTCTCACACGGCCAGACAGACAAATGAATTTTTGAAGGTGAACAACGTTGACCTTATGAGCCATCCCGCGTACAGTCCCGACCGGGCACCTGGTGACTTTTATTTATTTCCAAAAGTTAAGAACCAGTTACGCGGTCAACGATTTTCATCACATGAAAAGGCTGCCGAAGAGTATGAAAAATATGTTTCAGAGATTGTCACGGAGGAGGCGCATAAATATTTAAAAAATTTATTCATTCGTATGAAAAAGTGCATTAACGCTAATGGAGAATATTTTGAGAAACAATAAATTCATTTCTGACCATTTATAGTATTTTTTTCTTATTCATTCCCGAAACTTATAGCGCGCCCCACGTAATAATTGGGCCTATGTGGTCTAACAAGGAACACGAGGAGGCTCAGACTACATGGTCTTGTACCACATTTCTTTTTTCCCGGGACCTCATGTAAAAAAAAATCTCTCAACGACAATGGTACACTTTTGTACATACCATTTGGGTCACCGAAGTCTTAGTCGTTGAACAACTGCTTGATTGCGGCTGAAAGTTGAACAATGATAGAGAATGATACTGCAATCCATTTCTGGAAGGTACATTGAGATAGTTAAAGTGTAAGTTCGATGTTATAAAGTTACAAATGATAAAAAATACGCAGTACATTAGTGGTACAGTCTATGCCCTAAGGTATCTGACCCTAGCCGACCTTTTGGTTCTGAGAGCCATCTTACACATTCAACAGAAAAGTGTAAAGAAATGCCAGCTTTACAGTTGAAATATGTATTTATGTAATGTAATTAAAGACCAAATTGCCTTAAAAAGTTTCAACAACGTCATTCAATCATTAATAATGCATAAGGAATTAAGTCATATCAAAATGAATTTTGCGGCTCACAGGTTAAAGGTTAAGTTTGTTTAACACTTTTCTTCACACTTACACACAGCTAGTTTTAGCAGGATGCAATCGCGCGTTAGTATCGATGCAGTCGCGCGCTTATGTATCGCTGCGTAAAATCGCGCGCGTGTGTAAAGGCAGACGGTTAACGACTGCATCGCTGCTAAAAATCGCCGTGTGTAACCGCTCTTAGGGTCAGGTATCTTAGGGCGTCTACTGTACATACATCACGTGGAACAGAAAAGTAAACAAATCGCATTCTATTAAACGAAAAATAATCTCATATATCAACAATCAACAAATTACTAATGCGTACTTAAATCATACATAACTCTGTTATTTATTACCTACGTGATAGCGTACATGATTTGATAAAATTATTTTTCCAATTAGAGTGATGTCAATAACTACGTCACAGAGGTGTGTCGTTATTCACTGTTATGCCTACAAAGAATTGTAATAAAATGTTATATAAGTAGTGATAGTTTAAAGGAGGCTAATGCATAACAATGGGACGGGATTGTGACATACGGTGCGATTCAGATGATGGGCCATCTCGTGCCCCTAACATCTAGGGCTTTCCGTCTCGCTGTATTCCCGCGTCCTGGAAAAAAACTCGAAAGTCGAGGCAGTCTCGAAAATACCAGAATAAGGCTGCCTTTCCACCAGAGATGTGCGAGGTTACGAGGCGGTGAGAGGATGTGCAGCGGCGCGGTGCGAGGATGCGTTACGGAATCTTTTCAGCTATGCGCGGGCGGGGTACGGTGTGGTGGGGTGCGCATCCCTCGCTATTTTGTATGTACAAATACTTAGCTTCGCTAACCCTTTCCCACCGGAGCTGCGCTAAGCGAGGCTAGGAAAATGAAGTAATCCTGTTGGTGGATTTTTTCCTCGCACACCGTCTCGCTACGTCACACATCTCTGGTGGAAAGGCAGCCTAAACGAGACTTTCCAAACTATGTATTTCAAAACTAGGTTTCCATACTGCCCCCCTATCATCAACTAACTTAATCGACGTTTTTAACGAAATTGAGTTATTGACATAGTATATGTCATCAGCAAAACGAGATGTATAACCCCCTCGGTTTTTCAATACCTATCTTATTTAGTTTCAGTTTTATTGTTAAAGAGTCGATACAACCTCTAAATGGCTTTGGTTGATTCCGCATAGCAGTGAAAGTGTTGAATTAATCAGTTTGAAAAAAAAATATATTGAGGTTATACTCTGATTAGTACACGGCGTGAAAACACGATCCCTACGAATTTGCACGATAGAAAAAAAAACAAACTTACCTCGAAATTTTACAAGAAAACCTCAGTATTAAATAGGTAATTTACATAATATACTAAAGTTTTTTTTTATATCAACTGAACTAAATGGAACACGTACATATATATAGTATGCGACATACGTTTTCTAAATGGCTTTAATTTCGTTTATAAAAAAAAAATCTGAAATAAAGCCAGTGTCCCTGTCACTCGATCAAAGCAAAATTAACCGTATTAGTACGGAAAAATTGTAATTCGACAATGTTTGCAAATGTGTTAGTTATGACTAGAAAGGGGCATACTATTATTTCAAGTCCAATCGAACCGATATATATTTTCTAACCTCAAAATCACAGTATAAATTATAGAATGTTAGTGTCGTGGAAAATGAATTATCATTCAGCTGCTAATCAGATAGTACACAAATAAAGTTCCTACATATTTGCGAAACGTCACGGATTTACCCACGTCGCGTAATACTTCTGAATATTTGCTCTGCATACGTAACTAGTACAAGCAAAATAATTAAAACAGAATGTCATGTCGCATGATCTCTACCGAAAACTAAGTTTTTAGTTTTAGATAGACAAATTTTTCATTCATTCGTTCGTTACAGTAAAGGGCAATTCCAGTTGACTAGAATAACTATTGTACTTTTCATTTGAGCAGATACTTATTCACACTTTTCCATTTCAATAGACGCTTAGCCCCACTGTTCCATTTTCTCATTTGAGTAGATATTTTAACTGCCACTAGAATAGTGTTCTACTTTTCATTTGAATGGATATTTAAGTATCACTACCATCTCTATAATAGAATTCTATTTTCCATTTAAATAGACACAATGTTGTATTTAGAGATATTTAACTTAATGTTATTGCTGAATTGACATATTGGAATAAAGTGAACCGCCCGCGCCATACCAGCACCATTCAACTCTACATGTTGTTGTAAACATTGTTTCCAAAAATTCAATTGTTTTTAAAAAAATTAGCTGTTACAGAATCAGTTACGAAATTCATTATTATACTACTTATATATTAAAATTCAATTTAGTATCACATTTATTAGAAATATAAAAAAACCCTCGACTATAAAATTTGTTTTTTATCGCTTACGCTAATGGTTCGATATACTGCCGTCTACTAAATAAAACGCGGCGAAGCGACAAATGGTCAAATATCCGTTTCAAATAGCATAAGACAGAACACAAAATTGTCTTTTAAAAACAGTTAAAATTAGTTAACGTGTTCGACTTATCGGAACTCACCCTAATGATGCTTAGCTGAAATATCGTTAAACAATTTCAATATTTTAAAACTGGGTTATGGTTTTTTATGTTATCTCATAACATTATTTTGTCACTTACTAACTTACTAACGGACTGCAGTATAAGAGTGGTTACAAACGGCGACTTTTAGCAGCGATGCAAGCGCACGGTCGTGAAACGCGCACTTGCTATTTACCGGCGATTGCATCAATGCAAACGCGCGACTGCTTCGATACAAACACGTGATTGCATCGATACAAACGCGTGATTGCTTCGATGCAATCGCTTAAAAATCCCAAGTGTAGCGATGCAGTCGCGCGCTTGCATCGCTGCTTAAAATCGCCGTGTGTAACGGCTCTAACTTTGCTAAAAAGATTGCTAAACAATATCGGCCGATCTACTGTAGGTGTCAAAATACTTCAAAAACCAATCCAGGTGATGGCGCGAAAAATTGCGCTCAGAAAATCCTTCCTTCAGACAGTCCTTTGCTGGTAGGTCAAACGTAGCGATAATTGATCCTCATTTTCTTAATCAACCTTTTTTCAAAGGCTCATATCCGTCCACTGATTTAATACGACTGTATCAATATTAAAATAATCAAATATTGCAGAACATGAATCCGTTGTTCGCGCGGTTCGTGCCGTTCGCGGCTGTCGCCGGCGCCAATTGCCTCAACATTCCCATGATGAGAAGCAGGTATTTAATATTTTGTGGTCGCTAGATTGATTACGATTGGTAAAGATTAGAGCTTTAGTAGCAGTAGAGCTTCTTATGAAAGAGTTCGTCCAGGAATATACTGCCACCTTACCTAGCTCTGCCGCCAAGCAGTAATAATGTCAGCGTTACTCGAAATTTCGGTTTTGAAGGGTAAGGGTGCTGGTGAAATTACAGGCACATGGGTGATGAGCACTTTGCGAATAAAACCCTGAGTGGCACTGCAACTGTTATGGACAGGCGTGTAGCTTACCATCAGGCGCACGACTTATTTGTCCCGTCAACCGATTTTATAAAAAAAAGTACTGCCACCTTACCTATCTCTCCCGCCAAGAAGTAATGTGAGCATTGCTACTGCGTTCCGGTTTGGATAGGGTAAGGGTACTGGTGAAATTACAAGCACATGGGACTTGTTAACTTAAGCCTCAGGGTGACGGGCGCCGTGGCAATGCAGGTGCAGGATCTCGAGCATAGACAACGAGCTAGAAGACCCTCCCAGAAAATGGATCGACGTGGCTGGGAAATCCCATGATCCTAAACAAGTACCGGTACCTTCACGGACATTCTGTTAGGTTAGGTTATTTTTAAAAAGCCAAGATGTATTTCTTTGCGAAATGAAGCCTTATGTTTCCCCACGTAATGCAACATAAAAGCTGAATTCTTATAATCTAGTTTTAAACTGGAAAAAAGTCTTAAAAATAAAAAGGAACCATGTAAAATGAAATGGAACTAAGCTGATGATGGTTGAATTCCAGTGAAATAATCAACGGCACACCGGTTTTCACGCTGTCGGGCGAGCGTATCGGAGAATCGCGGAACGCGGCACGATACGGCATCAGCCTCGTCGTCGTCTCCAGGATTTTCATGGCCATACCCGGAATGAGTAAGTCTTGGTTTCACTAACACTACCACCTTTGCTGGGGCCAATGCCGTCTTTGCCTATGGTGCAGGGTGTGCGGCGCACTCACAACACATTCAAAGAACCTTCGTCGTTCACGACGCAAGAGAAATAAACGGGCAATTGCTTCCCAACATCATTTATAATTGCGCCATTTGCACCCAAATTTCCGAGCACTGGGGAAAATATAACTGTTAAAATTCGTACAAAAGTCGTGATATTCAATAAAGTTAATAAGGTCAGTATGGGTAAGTGTGACATACTTTTTACGAAGTTTATTTTGAACATAAAATTCAAGCCATTTGAGGTTGAGGTTTCAACTTTTTCTATAGGCAATATTTAATAAGGCTCATAATTGACTGAAAATAATATGTTTTATAAAATTTCAACATTAATAATTTATTATTAAGGTCTAAAACTGAAAGCACTACTACACACACACTTTACACTACTACACACTTTCCCGACGAACCGAGGCAAGTGTGACTTACATTGCTAACGCACGACACTATAACAATAACTATTTTTTATTGTAAAATGCAAAGATTATGTTACCTAAGTACAACAAGGAATCATGTGTCACTTACATAGGTTGCTTTAAGCATTTAAGAAAAAAAGTTATGAGTAAGTGTGTCATACTGTGCTTCAGACAGAGGTAGAAAACCTTTTAAAAGAAAATTAAAAAGCCACTTTACTGGTGCTTAGAACATAATATAATAAAAGATTCTTGACCTGGTTTATAGTTTTTATAAGGGGTGATGAGATTATTCTCTTTTACTCTGATTTAAAAAAGTCCCTAGAGTCCGTTTAGATAAAAATACAACGGACTCGGCTATGTATTCCGTTCACCGTACGACATGCACTAAAGATAAAAACGAGATTTAGTCACAGTGATACTTTCTGGCTGTTCTCTTCTTCCTTGAAACGCTAATCTCAAATGTCATCACTAGTTTTATCCAAAACAAAACTAAAATAATAAATTAATGTTTACCACCTCTGACTTGGGGCAAGTGCGACACATACTTACACTTACCGCAACTAAAGTGGGCACACTTCCCCGATCACCTAATTTTATGGTTACGTTTTTTAAATACACATAGAACTCATATTTTTCCAATCCAAGTGAAATAGTAATATTAAGTTTAACAACTAAAAAAAGAACTTGCCTATACAAAATACCTTCTCTCGTCGAAATCACCAAAATTTCTGTGCCACATGTGAATTGAGATTCGTATAAAAAAAGTGACAGATTTCAAAATGACGATAGCCACGAAAATACCTAACAGAGCTATCTAAATTTAAAAGTGTGGATCAGTAGTACTTTTAATTACATTAACAGTAATTTTCAGGAAAGGTTTTTGTACTCAATTTTGGTGACGATTTTTAATATTTAATTACTCGAATATAACATCGTAAAATATAAAAGAATATTTCAGGTGACCACACTCGAATATTAAATAATACTTCATGGTGATATTCTATAAATATTTAAATAAAAAGAAATTGTCACCAAAATTGAGTACAAAAAACTTACCTGAAAATTACCCTAAGTGCGTTTGCTCTTTGTATCACCCAAAAAAATAGGTACATAATATCTTAACTGGTATCGAAGGAATTTTTCTTTAATAAGTATTTTTCAAAGTGAGAAAGGACCCTAATTTTGTACAAAAACTTTAAATAATGACTAATTAAACTGAAATATTCTGCAATTATTACTGTTTAATAACAAAGTAATATTAATATTTCACTTATTATAATATAGAATGTTGCTTTTTGACTTTGTTTTTCTTTTTGAAGCGGAATGCGCTCGTGGTTAATACCTAGAAGAAATTAAAAAAATATATGAAGATAGAATATGAAAGTATGTTTCTTTTTTTAATATTTCTTTATTTACAGTACTGTACAGTACAGACAGTACGCACAAATACCCATAGCTTCAGATCTGGTCGTTTTATCACTACAATCCATACTGTAAAAGTAGTTACATAGTAGATATTACGAAATGTTAAAAATGCCAAGGTTTCACATGTAAATTATTTTAAAAATAAGGTACCTTCAAATTAGACACTTATAGAAGCGCCACAGTGGAGCCATTGTGGCGCTACAGCCGCGCCGTTACTAAAATTAGTGAGCTTCTAAACACTAAACGAAAGTTCGTAAGGCATTTTGTAGTTAGAAGTTCATTCAAATAACATGGTAGGTGGTTTACATACAACATTTTGATATAATGTATTCTTTAATTGTCATAGAGTCGTGGTTTTTTTAAACTTAACTTTTTGCATGGAAAATAAATTCTTATGCTATATAATTTTGGAACTATGTATACAGGGTTATTTGTAAAATAATAACCCTCACAGGACTGTATTATACAATTACTATCATCATAAACTACAACTTTTTAAATAATTAGTCAGATTTTACTTTCTTAAAAAAAATTATTAAAGATCGCTCTAAACGGTAATAACTCTGTGCGGTAGCGAAAAGAAAGCACATACATAATTATTTTTAAGAATGACAGCATGCGGAAGGCGTTGCTAAAAATACAGATCTAAAATTTTAAAATTTATCGACTATCTGCGAGAAAGGCTTTGCCTAGTGCAGAAATCGTAGGAAATTCTCTGTACGCGATATACGCTACAATTGAGTTGTGTTACCTGATTCTTTGCCGTACTTAAATTGTAATGTACCTACACAAGTTCATTTGTAAAAAGTGTCAGATACTAAAAAGAAACTTAAAAGTTCGTTTTTGGTAAATTTATAATGTTTTGTAAATAGTCATGGAACAACAGTTGTTTATATAATAATGTTAGTAATATAGTCCAGGAAGGTTGTTAGTAGTATGAAAATAAGCATGTATAACTGAACAGTGAAAAACCACGACTCTGGATGTTACTTTTTACGTGTCTACCGATTGCCTTAGTTAATTACTAAATATTATATTCAAAATCTTGTGTATAAAGCGCGTTTTGCCCAACTAATTTAATTGTAATTGCAGTACTAACACCAATGGCGACGAATTTCGGCCTAAAACGCGGGTGGTTCCGCGGGGGAAGGCATTGGCTGATATTACCCTTCCAGCTGGCGTCGGTGGGATTCTGTGTCACCATCGCCACACCTCTCGGATGCGCCATGTTCCCACAACAAGCTACCTTTCCTGTGTCTAGATTGGAACCTGAATTGGCTGTAAGTAACTTTGTCCAGTTATACTTCGTTATAAGTGTAAGTTTTGTTCTTGATTAGATTTTAAAATCTGGACTGTTAAGTTAAATTATGGCAACATTAATTAGCAAATAAATCTGAGGGCGTGTCAGTCAACATATTCGCCGAAGATGTTAGCTTATTCTATTTGAGATAACTTTATCCACGGGCAATACAATTTTATTCCTAACTTACTTTTATCACTTTTTGGATAGGCCAATTATATCTATCCACGAAAATATGTTATTTAAAAAGTATCAAGAATAAGAAATAAGAAAAATTAAATCAAATGTAATAATCCTGCCTCTGTTAAAAGAAAACAGCGAAAAAAGAACATTAAAAATAAAATGACAGCATAACATGTCATCTGACATTTTTTACTTGTTTCTTTAATGTATTAGGTTCATCAACAGCTGTTATCAATTACATGTTTAATTTATATAGATAAGAGGCTTGAAAAGATTCACAAGTAATAACAGACTCAACTGCCAATGTAACTAAATTTTACCAGAATACAAGTATTATCATTCTGGCACAATGTTATTACTATATACTTAAATTCACATGCTTCCGTGTTATTTTCAGAAAATTGCCAGAAGCAAAAACGTGGACACTGTAGTATACAACAAGGGTTTGTAAACGTAAAACCAAACAAGCACGAGCTTCGTAGACGTCCTAACTATATTAACTACTTCAAGAGTTCATGGTAGATAGGAAAATATCATTACGGAATTGAACAGAAATTTTCATGCGGTCTTCCCTAGAACGGTTACACTTTGGACACCGATACAAACGCACATTTGTGACATACAAAATAGGTGCGCAGCGCCTGGGTTTTAACCCAGCGTTAACAAAGCGTTTAACGTAACGTAACGTAACGCCCGAAATCGCGGGCAAAACTATTTACAAATAAATATTTATTGTTTTGAACGAGTTTTGTTCAAGTTTAATGATATTAATACAAAATGGTTATTGCTTTCTAGACGATTCGATTTGCCTTTCTATTGAAATAAATCGATACAAAAAATCTTGCATATGCACTTGAATCGATCATAATAAAAATTGAATCGTAATGTGCACCCTTAGCAGTGAGAATCCAAAGGATTGCAAGGTGGGTATTATGTGAAGTTGCCGCTTTTTCGTCTAAAAAAGATTTTTTGTGTCAAAATTTGTAATAAGTATACAAGTATTTAAAATTCCGTATTCACTGTTTCGAGCAGAATTGGGATAAACCTGGTTAAAACCCGTGCGAGTTAATTGGGTTTTAACACACTGCCCATCTCTGATCGCTGCTTAAGCGTGATGCCACACGGGCGTTGCCGGTGCGTTGCGTGCGATACGAGCTGTTCCGTCGACGCGCGCTGTTTTAACGCAGCGTGTGGCATGTCGTTCTGATATATACGTAGTACGACGCAGCTGCGATGACGCAACGTGTAACGTACGAGGACTAGCGACTGCATCGCGACTTACTCGCTGCAGACGCGCTGCTAAAAGTCTCCGTGTGTAACCGCTCTAAAATGCATTGAGTTGCTGCTATAGAGATATAAATAGTTTTGTAGTTAAAGACAACTTCTATAGCTTAATGTGTGGCTGATTGTACCTATGACAACACGGTGAAATAGGGCTTCAGTGGACTTATCTTTGAAGGGAAAAAAATAGAACACTGTAACATTTATCTTATATATATGTAACATTAACATTATCAAAGTATAATTGAACTTTGAAACACCCTGTACATTTACCTCTAAAGATGGACGGCACCATGTAGAGATTTAGATTGAACAATATACCAACTAATTCTAGTCCAACCTCTTCGTATATAAGACCCGTGTTCAGCAGAGCATTGATTGTGTCACTATAAATAAAATAAGAGCCGGTCAGCAAAAGGTACCGGACTACCTTTTATTTTGTTTGTGGGTAGTAATAGAAGCTCCGAAAAGTAAATTGAAAATAAGCTTATTCAAGATAATACGATAAGCATTGCGTTAGGGTCACGGGCCGTGAGAAAAGTGGCTGTGGTTCGGAACCTCTGTTATTTCCCTATATTTATTAAGAAATGTTAAATAAGTTAGTTAGAAATATTATTTCAATTAGCAACATGTTCTGTACAGTGTAAATTTTAAACGATACTTAAGAAAAAAATTTAAATGTCTATGATTAACGCATATTAAAATAATATTCCAAAACCTATATTATTTACATTCCATATAAATTGTGATAAGTTTTTTTGTTTTTATTGATCATATATTTTACTGTTTTTTAATGAATGTCTTATTAATTTTATACTCAAATATACAATTAAAGGTATAATTGATCTGATTGATTTATTTAAGTAAGTACATTTTGTTCAAAATGTAAAGATTGTTTTTAATACCTTTAATTAATACAGCTGAGGATGTAATACCATAATATAATAAGTATACAGTGTAACTCTATTAAAATGTAGCAGCAAGGCTTTTACACATCAGCGAATGCTGATTTTTTTTACCATAACGCTGATTTCGCAGCTGTGCATATTTCTATTTAATGAATTATCTAATCTACGATCCATGTATAAAAACATTCATATGTAAGTACTGCGTTTGACAAAGGTTATTTCAATACAGCACGAGAATATTGTTATGAATATCTTATTTTTTCAAATTATGTTTACTACTTGTAGGTACAACTAAAATTATAATGTGATAACCCTGCGCTCCGATGTGTAGGCATTGACGCGCCGCGCGCCGTCCGTAAGAGTTGCACCAATTGTCTTATTTTATACTATGGTAAAATAATGTCACCGTCTCGACTGTATACTGGCAACTGGTACTATCTCAATTTTGACAACTTTACATTGACTTTACAGGCGAAGAAAATAATTGTTTGCGTCGTTTATATAGCATCTGATTTATTAAATAAAAAAATTTTTTAAACCATTTTATTTATTTAATGAATCAGATGCTATATAAATGACGCAAACAATTCTTTTCTTCACCTGTAAAGTCAATGTAAAGTTGTCAAAATTGAGATAGTACCGTTTGCCAGTTCACAGTCGAATTCTGTGTTTCACGGAAGCTACAAATTAGGGCCATTAAAAACTAGAGTGAATAGATATTTACTAAAGATATTTGTGTCGATTGTGTTCGATCAAATCAAAATTATTCGAACAGCACCCGATAACCGGTGGGTCACGGGCCTCTATCAGTTTAGAGTTCCGATCATTTTTATTTCACAAACGCGTGTCATGCTCGCAATATTCTACTTTATGGTTTTAATTTCAGAGGTTTTTCAACAGTCTGGTATATATTATTGGTATCCCGATCATTCACATGAAGTCCCTTTGATCCGATCACATTACGCATTGGTCATGATCGACCTAGGTCATCAGAATTGATCGCAGGACTAATTTACTAGACAAACGCGTAACATCATCAGTCGTTTCGCTTAGTGTCAAGTGAGATAACAGTGAAGCGTTCGTCTATTTAACATCGTAAAATAAGTTGTTGATATTCCTATATGGAGATGCAATATGACTCAATTTATATAATATGTTATTGTACATGGCATAATGAACTTTACCGTCAATTATGTAACTTACAAACGGCAACGCTAGTGACACCACGGGAAATGCAGAAGTCGCCATGTATAACCACTTTAAGGCAGCAAATACACAAAAAAGCACTTGGAAATCACACTGTAGAAGCCATAGTTGGTTTTTTGAGATCTTTGTAGTGAAACCGGGTACCCCGAGTACCGATTTGCCTCGTTATTAATTACTAATCCTGTCATTCGAATAACAAATTAGTAAGTAACCTGCTTATTTTCGTATTCGAATGATCTGAATGATCATTCCTTTATTTGTATGGCCTACATTTATTTCTCTCGTGCGTTTGGGTGTAATTTATGGTTGTCTATTTGTGTGTCCATGGCAGCCGCGACACAGGGTTTCCCTAGTGCGGGCTTATGTCAAGTGCGTGCGTTATTATTATTATTACCAATCCATAGATTCTATAAAGCATTTCTGCCTAGCCCTCTCTGACATACGAAAATCGTAAATGTAAAGAATGAAAACTGTAAAACAAAATACCGTAATGTGACGGGGACAGGGATATTTTGATATAACTTGGTGAATGGTTCGGAGTTTTTCCGATATAATCCTTCGATTCGTGCACCCGACCTAATGACAGCAAGGGCATTCGGTATCGGGGATCATTCGACTCGAGTCGATTGATTGTGCTTGGATTCTACTTAGGCGAATGATTTGCCCATTCGAATGATTAGTATTAGTAATATTCAAAGTCGCGCATCGCTAGTACCCCGTGCTGTCATATTCTGATATTTAATTTCACGATTAACGCCGTTACTGTCTATGCACGGGTTAAAAAACATTAAACATTCCAAGGTGCAAATTAAACTGCCATTTTTAAGGTTCTACTGCTAAGCTGTGGACCTTCGTGAATCTTGTTAACTGTACATAAAACTTTTAATGAAAGTGCGGTCAATTCCTAAAGCTTGACAATAATGTTAGAATATATATATCAATGATTAATTATTTTGTAAATTTACGTTCTGTATTTTAACTATAAAGTAATTAAAGAATAATATTATTCAAAGTAAATAATTTATGTTCAATAGTAAGCTATAGACCAATGAGTTTAATTCTTTTTTGTATCCAATACTTACGTCCAAGCCAAACAAATGTTTCTTTAAAAATATTTGTCTATTTAGATAATAATCTGTATTGTCTTGTTGTCTTTGCAATTTTTTCTTATAAGCAATGTGACATTGTTATTGCTCCAAAAATAATGAAATATTTAAGGGTAATGTACAAAATAAATGTGTATTTGTTATCAAATTTTCTTTATTTTTTATCTGTAATTAGAGTTTTTTCTCTATGTTGTTGTTCCCTATGTTTGATCTGCATACGTATCCTCAATATTGTTTCTAACCGACTTCAAAAAAGGAGGAGTTTGATATTCGAATGTCTTTTTTAGTGACATTTGTGAACCGATTTCGGTGATGCGATGATATTTTGTTGAAAAGGGGTTAGTGTTCAGGAGTGGTCTTATTCAAATTTGAAGAAAATATTACACCTCCAAGGGTGGCGAATTTGTGGATAAATCTGATTTATTGAATTTCACCTATTTTTCAACCGATTCCAATAAAACTTGGCAGATAAATTCTACAAACTTTTGAAGTCGGTTTTTTTTAATAAAAATTTTTTTTTTTATTATCGCGCCTAGTTGGTTCCGCATACATAATTCCAAAAACGATTCCCAAGCGTTAAAAACATCAGTATGGCAAGAAAATGGATTTGCGTAGCACAAAGTCAAACATGTTTCTGTGCGAACAAGCTAACGATTTGTCAAATAATCGATTATTATCTCAATGCGATTGATCGATGGATCATTAAGTCGAATGACGTTGGTTGAATGTGGATTAAAATTAGTACAATAAATAAAAATTACTTTATTTATGTTATGAAATGAAGAAATTTAATCATTATGGCTTTAGTAATAATCAGTACTTTGACATGCCATGTCCGAGAATTAATTAAATTAAAAAAGATACACGTTTTGTACAGTTTTCTTTTATGATATGTAGTGACGGGACGAACCACTCGTGCTCCTGGTGGTAAGCGACACGCCTGTGCACAACAGTTGCAGTGCCACTTAGGGTCGTATTCAGAACTCTACTCAGTGCTCAAGTCAGGACTTGAGTATTGCAGTGAGCACTGAAAATCACACTCAAGTCCTTGCCATTAGGGTCGTATTTCCAGTGCTTGAAATCATACTCAAGTCTGCTCAAATCCTGACTTGAGCATTGAGTACAGTTCTAAAATACGACCCTTAGAGCATTAAATCACAAAGATGTGAGGGGCACTGCCATTGTGCCCGTCACCCTGAGACACAAGTTGACAAGTCCTATGTGCCTCTTCATGACCAAAATCACCAAATTTCTCACTTTTTTTGTTCCGCTAAGTGTACCGGTGTATATATTAATATTTTTTACACCCTTTATCAACATTTATACTTTTGCAGTTATAACGCCGCTTTTGACAAACATAGTGACTAACGCGGGCTGGTTTGTCAAGAATCCAGCGTTAGTAATTCCTTTCCAAGTAGGACTGGTGGCGCTTTGTGTGACAATTGCAACGCCGCTGGGTTGTGCGCTTTTCGTGCAGCAGGCCAGTATAAAAAGGGATTGGCTAGAGCCTGACTTACAGGTAAATATTAATAGTGTTTATGGTAGACGTTTCTTTTGTGTGTGAAGCTTAGGGATGCCGCAGACGTTTACATCTGCTACCGCGGATCATCTGCATATTTTTAAATATCCGCATCCGACATCCGAATCAGTCGATGCGGAGTTTTACCCGTAATCCGGTAGGCAGTATACAAAAAATCATTAAGGGCGCCTTCAAATTAGACGCTTAAAGAAGCGCTGAAGCCGTGCGTTTGTGGCGCTTCAGTAATTTTTAACTAACTTCAAAAAAGGAGGAGGTTCTCAATTCGACTGTTTTTTTTTGTATGTAGGTATGTTACGCGATAACTATAATTTGTGGATCGATTTTGATAATTCTTTTTTTGTTGGAAAGAGGGTACCTCGGTATTATATCTCTAAGGGTGACATACCAGGAGATGAATCCGGTTTTGCGCACTTTCCGATAACCGGTTTCAAGAAAACTTGGCAAATAGATGTAATTCCACGAACTTTTGAGGTTGGTTTTTTAGTACTCTGTACTGAGATTTTTAGTTCACTAATCGTGACTGCGAAACTGGTACACGCGTGTCACGATGGTGTAAGTGCGCGTCTAAGCATTGTATGAAAATTTACAGAGGTACCGTTGCACTGCTTCTATAAGCATCTAATTTGAAGGCGCCCTAAGAAGTTATTTGGTATTCTCTCCTTGATCTAATTTAACAGCTAAATATTTTACCCTTATTTTTTTATTTAATAAGGCGTCTATTATTCGTTGAGTTAGGCAAGTTCTTAATAGCAACTTGTTTTCGTTTAATTTCCATTTCAATCAAAAGTGCACGTTGACATCATTCAGATACGTTCATTTGTTTTATCAATTGTTAATGTATTTTTGAATCCTTAAATCGTTTTGACGCTCTGGCTGTACTTTACCCCACCGTACTTGCAACGATTTCTTACAAATTGTACAACACGTATGTAGAAGTAATTCTCAGTCGAAAACTTTATTTCGCAGGAAATAGCAAAGAAGAGAAACATCGACTGTCTTGTTTTCAATAAAGGATTATAAGTACAAGTGTATAGAATTAATTTATCTAATGGCTCCTGTTTTCCCATTGGACCTTTTTGTAAGGCGCTAAGGAACCAACCATCTTTATTATATTAAACGTGTTCTATCTATTGTTAAACAGCCATGGAAATTAAATTC